CTGTCCGTTTCACCGGCGCCCCCCCCCCCCCCCCCCCCAAAAAAAAAAAACGAACGAATCCGTCAGGGATATCACAGCGCAAACCGCAGCCAAAAAGGCATCGATAGAGAGCAGTATTTGTTGCTGCCTCGTCAAATTCTGTGACCCTGTGATGGGTCTCACAAGCTGACAATCTCACCATGCGATGCAAATGCCAAGGAATAGGCACTGTAGCGCCATTCCGAGGTCTTGTGCGAGTACTAGCATTGTACTAGGAGTACTACTTTTTTGTTGATTTCTTTTAGCGCCATTCTCCCTTATTTGAGGTTGAAATTATAAGCACATAATAATTTAATTTATTCTATAAATAAATCATGACATTGCAGATGTAAACTAGCATGAACGCATCATTAGATCTACACATGTAAACTAAGCAGTAAAACATAAATAGATCAAATATGCGCAACATGTCGAACACGTACCGAGGTGGCAAAAAGACCGGTTGCTCGGCAGGAACTACTCGTGGTTGCAGGCGACGACGAAGGCGCGCAGCACGCGAGCGGAGAGGAAGGCAAGCCTTCGCGGACGAACAGGGAGCAGTCGTGCGAAGCGCTTCCCAAAAACCTTATTGCCGCCTTCTCCCGGTGCAGAACGTCGAAGGCAGAGGTTCCGGAGACCTGCTCTCCCGATCGCCGGTGCACGTCGGCGAGCGGGATGGAGTAGTATACGAGCGACGGCGCAGCACAGAGTAGGAGGCAAATCCTAGATTGATTTCGCGTGCGTTGTGTGAAGGCGGTGGCACGGTTTATATAGAGATAGGTCGCTTGATCAGGGCGCCCGCACGATCTCTACTCCGCGTAACCGAACCGGATAAGTAGCGCGTAACTTATCCGGACTCCACGCCGTTTTTACGCACCGTATTCGGATTTTTCGGATTGTTTCCAAAACAAAACAAATCCGAATTTCCCACAGCAAAACAAAACTGCAAAAGGAGGCTGCATCTGCGCAAGGGTGAGGAGCCAATTTTGCGTTTCTCGCAGCAAAACAAAACTGCAAAAGGAGGATGCATCTGCGCAAGGGTGAGGAGCCAATTTTGCGGACCATTCAACACGTATGTCGGAGCCAATTTTGCGTTTCTCGCAGCAAAACAAAACTGTAAAAGGAGGATGCATCTGCCAGGCGAGGCGAGCGAGCGCCCACGTGTGTTCCCCTTCTTCTCTCCACCACACATGCTTCTAGTGGCTTGGAGGGCATCCTCCCTTTTAAGGAGGTCCCTCTCTCCTAGAATAAGTAAGGTGGTACTAAACTCCGCATGCATGCCATCCCATGAGGTGGGCTTTTGTGATTTTCCGAAGAATTAATCTTCGAGTGGGCTAAGGCCCATCCATTAATTCCAACACATATGAGTGTTGTTTCAAGGGGTATAAGGTCATTCACTATGCACACACGTGACATGTGGCATAATCAATCCACATAGACATATTGTTTCCATGTAGGGGACCATGTTCTTGTCGAGTTCGCATGCCCTCTGTCGGTAACGAGGGCCTCAGGGCCTCACAGAAGATGTTAGAAAAAGGGGAAGTGAGTCTAGAAAACAGGAGAGAGACATGGGGAAGAACACTGGCCGACTTGGAGATCATCGACCTGATCTGCTCGTCGCCCGATAACATCATCCTATGTCCGTTCTCCTGCTCAAAGATGACCCGATCTACTGCCGAAACCGTCTCTACTGAAAAAGCTCATAAGCCCGGGGGGAGGGTAGGGTACTGACGCTGCCAAATCCGCCCCGAGCTCACTGTCCCGCGGGCTAGATCTAGGCGATATTACTGAGCTCCAAGTCAGATCTGACACCTAAGAGGAGAGAGGCGATGATGGTGGCGGCCGAGCTCTCGTGTCACTCCGGATCCACGCCACTATTGTCGAGGTCATCGCCCTCCGAGTCCTCAATGTGCTGTCTACTCGCCATCGGCCGGGATAGGAGGGGGCCCAATGAGCTATTGCGTCGCCACGAGTGAGTGGCACCAGTCACGCGCTGTTGAGCTTGTCGTCGCCTCGCCACCACCTCGGCCTCCTCGATCACCGCTGCGTCCCCAGCCTCCTTGATTGCCGCCATGGCACGGGGAGAGGGGAGAGGAGGCCATGGTGAAGCAATGACACGATGACGGGGTAGCTTGAGCTGCCGGCCGTTATCAGTGGAATTGTCATTGGCCTCCTGCGACTTGTGGTTGGGCGGAGGTTGGGGAGCTGTCGGCCTCCGTAGGTTGAAGCTCGTTGTGCCGCCGGCCGTCGTCGGTCTCTGGTTGGTTGAGGAACGGAGAGATTGAGGGGAGGGGAGAGATTTTAGGGTGTGTAGTGCTAAATTTTAGACGTTATGTAAAATGAAAACACATGATGACTAAAATAGAAGATGGTAAGGCTTGACATGAAAAATTGAAAACGCTCCTGAAACAACTTTGCACTGTGGGATAGGAGGTGTGGTCTCAGTCTACATGGGGCATTCCCTCTCTAGAGATAATTCTAGGTGTGGCTTAGATTATGAATGGCATAAGGGATAATATTTATTTAGCAAAGGCAAACTAGATAAGGAAATGAAAAATGTTAAAAAGAAAATTCTAATTAGTGGTAACCTTCTCATCGTTTACTTTTGTCCATTTAGTCCCAGACAAAATCTGAATTTTAAAACTTAATGTTAAGGTCTTTTTATCATTCTTTCTTTTTCTGCATTTGCTTTTAATGAACTTAAAACATATGTCTACTATTATAAAAATTAAAGATGTTTTTGCCGGTATTTTGGTATGCCATCCATGTATGAGTCGGTTTTTAAGTTCGTTTGCTTTTGGAAATATATATCCGTATTTGAGTCGGTTTTTACGATCGTTCACTTTTGGTAATACAGAAGGAATCATATAAGAAATCTGTTTAAAAAAACTCGCATGCTAACTTGAGATGATCGGACTCTTAACTACATCTCATAATTTTCTGAAAAAATATATATCCAAACGAACTTCCACAGTGAATTTTATCTTAAATAAGGCCCTGTTTGATTCAACTTAGGATTATTATAATCTGGATTATTAAGAGTAAGCTGAAACAAACAAATAGATTATTATAATCTGTAAGCCAGATTATTATAATCTAATAATCTTCTCTGGAGGAGCTTTTTCCAGATTATTGGGTGGCTAAAGACCCACTACCCTTAGATGTCTTCAATAATCCAGAGAAACAAATAACTCGCAGCTTATTTTAGATTAGCTTATTATAATCCAGCTTAGAGTAATCCGATTTAATAATCTAAATTACAATAATCTTAAGCTGAAACAAACAGGGCCTAAATCATATAACAATAATAAGGTTAAAATAGATTTCACCTGTTGCAACGCACGGGTATTTTTCCTAGTAATATATTAAACTTTTTCCGATAAATTAGTTTTGGTTGCTTCCTTTAATTTTTTGTCGGCCTATCAACCGTACATCAAACAATCTGAGCCAGTGTGGTATGCATGGGTCCGAATGTGCCTTAATGCCACTTATTGTACCATTAGAATCATTGTTGATGCGGTTGAACTGTTAGGCGCATGTCCATAGGGTGGACTTGGACGCCTCATGGTTGATACAACTACTAGAGGCTGACATGGATGTCTTTGGTTTGACCTCAAACAAGGGGAGAAGAATGAAGCGATAAACATGTAGTACTTCTGGGATTCGGATTCGGTGACATCGTTATAGCATAGCACGGTGTGACATTGGAGCGATCTGGAACGTTGAAATCTAATCGAACGGTCCGCTGCGCCGGCCCACCTGCAGGGTTCGTTTTCCCCCCCAAGCGCTCCGTTTCCCTCGCCCCAATCCCCCGTGGTCGCATCGCCGCCTCGCCGCTTCGCCTGCCTTCCTCGCCCGCGCCAGGCCGCCGCCACGCCAGGCCGGAGAGGCGCCAGGCCGCCGCGAGTGGAGAGGGGACCGAGCGGCCGCCTCGCAGTTGCGCCTCCCTCGCCCATGCCAGGCCGCCGCCGCCGCCACGCCAGGCCAGAGAGGCGCTAGGCCGCCGTGAGTGGGGAGGGGACTGGGCGGCTGCCTCGCAGCTTCGCCTCCCTCGCCCGCGCCAGGCCGCCGCCGCCGCGCCAGGCCGGAGCTAGCTAGGAGCCGCCACCACCGCAAGTGGGGAGGGGACCGGGCGGCGGCCGCGCGATGCCGGGGCTGACAGGCTGGGGGCCTGCCCTGCCACCGTGGCCCTTGGCAATGGAGGCGGCCGGCCGACGGGGTGCCCATGGGGCGACGGTGCCCTTGTCTGAAATATGTTGAAAATACTGATGAACACAGTACCAAATAATTCATCTCTGAATTTGTATTCCAAATAATTCATCTCTTTTTTGTACATTGTGTCTTGATTTTGTGAAATGAGAAATATATCTTGCTTATCTTGTATCCATGGCATTTCAAACAGATTAAACCATGTGAAAATTGGGCTATGCAATTGCTTCAAGTGACTGAACTGAACTTTGTGAGACAAAATCATTTTCAGGTTTAGCTTGAACTGAAGGGAAATCCAGGACAGGAGTTGCCAGTTTCTAGCTGCTTACAATCAGGCTAATGTCAGTGGCATCGAAGCGAACACCGTGACCCTTGGCGATGGAGGCGGCCGGCCGTCGGGGTGCCAATGGAGGCAATGGTCTTCGCAGCTGTTTAGCTGGTTTTTTTTAGCAAAGGGCAAAGCCCTCCATTTCCATTAGAGAAATGCAAAGATTCTTTTACAGTTGTTTAGCTGTTTGTTCTCCAAAATTGCTGTTTTGAAGTTTAGCTGTTTGTTCTCTATCTCCAAAATTGCCTTAGGCTTAGCTGTGCACTGTCCTGAAACAATTGATTTGACTCATGTATGCTGTAATTTGAATGAATGAATGAATAAATCAGTAACTTCATGTATGCTGTTCTGTGATGTTTCTCTGAAAAAATTGACAGCATGTCCCCATAATTGGTGGATGGATTGAGACAACACAGAAAGACATAAACAACCATATAGAAGTTGATAAACTTGAAACTTGGAGCATTCAGACATCACAGATAGTTGGAAACAGCCATATAGAAGTTGATAATGTTGTGAGATAAGTTTTTGGATCGTACATGTCATTCAAACTAGTATGTGGAGCATATAGAAAACTATTCCAAGGGTAGGCCATATTCACTTGTACAATTTGGCCACAAAATACTATCGTTGGCCCTGTCCAAAATACTAAACAGAGACCACAAAATACTATAGTTAGTCCTGTCGAGAAGGCATCTAACCATTCCTGTCCAAAAACATCAAACTATCCTGTACAAAAGCCATATAACCATGCTGTCCACAAGCCATCTAACCATCTTGCAAAGATTAGAACAGATCTTGATCACAGAGAATATCATCATCACAACTTGGTGCTGTCACAAGGTGGGTAAAATCGCTAATGATATTGTATTGTTGAAGCTCCACGTCTCTTTCTTTGTGGCTGCCATCATCCTTAACTTGTACCTGTGGCTGTAAAGCATCATTTTTCTTTTGTTTTTGCCAATGAAAAGTCAATTAATTAGTTAAGCAATTTTTTACATCAACATACAAAGATGAGCAGCTTGCATATGATATACCTTTACTCCCTTTTTTGTTGGTTTTGCAGATTTAGGATTGTTGCGCTTCCCCTTGCGTAGCTTATCAATCCAAGTTCTAATTCTCCTTGACTTGTTTGACTGAACCTCCTTCTTGTTTAGTTGTGTAGCACTAAGCAAATCATCTCCATGTTGCGCGTTTGGGTCAATATTTTCTTTGTCCTCGTAGGGCTCATGTGTACCACCAGCAGATAGTAAATTGAGTTTCTCCTCTAGCTGTGTACAAAGGCAATCAAGTGCATTTTCTAACACTACACAACATTCTGGAGAGTGAGCTACTTTATGTGCCAAAGTGTGAAACTTATGAGACATAATCTTGTACCGTAGTTGAGCTTCCAATTTTGGATTTGCTACCACATTCCTTCCTTGCCTATCTTGTATATTTTCATTACATGCCTCTCTAGTCCATCTCTTTATGATGTAATGTGGTGGCAATTTTTTTATATTCATTAGATCAAGAACTTTCAGACCATGTGCACATAAAATTCCTATCCTTTCAAACATTCTACAACTACATGAAGTTTTTTGGTTTAGAGGATCACCGATCACTGTGTACTCCTCCACCTCTGAACTTACCTCACCAAGCAAATTCCCAACTACAACAGCATATCTGTGTTCTCCATCCAAAACTCTAGCGCACGCAGCCATGGATCTTTCATATTCGCTTTGGAAAGCTTCAAAAATCACTGGAGTGTACACTTGGTTAGCTCGAACCAACATCGGTGTGCACATTAGTCTTCTAGGTAGCTTCTTCCTTGCCTCAAATTCAGATTGTAGTTCCTTATCTCTTTTGTCTTGAACTGACCTCTCAAAATGCTTAAGAAATCGAATGATATCAAAATCTGATTTCAAATGGTTCTTCAATGCATTGTTGAAGCTCTCACTTAGCTGTGTACTTCGCACTCCTAAACTGAAGACATCTCTCATATAACATTCAGCCCATTTCTCTTTCACCTTGTAAATGCTATCTAACTATGTTTGCTTATGAACTTTGGATCTCATAATCTCAAATGCCTCTTCAAATGATGCCTCATCTTCGTGGCCAAACATACAAGCGAACATGCGATTCCTCTTCACCTTCGTCTTCCTCTTCACCTTCATCATCCTCTTTACCTTTCACTGGAGATAAATGCTTCACAGCATTCTGCATTATGTGAAAGGTGCAGAGACCATGATATGATTCTGTGAATACTATCTTTATGGCTTTTCCCATAGCTGCATCTTAATCTATGCAAATAGTTTTAGGTTGCTTCCCATTATGTGCAGCTAGAAAAGTCTCAAACAACCATGTAAATGATGCTTCTGTTTCATCAAATAGAAGTGCAGCACCAAAAATAGTGGTTTCTCTAAACTGATTGAGCCCAAGAAAAACACCAAATGGCCTATATTCTTTGTTTGTCCCAAAAGTTGTGTCAAATGTGACAACATCACCAAAGTGTGCATAGTCAAGGATCATCTTTGCGTTAGCCCAGAATATGTTGGTAATGTGCTCCTCACAATCCAGCTGCAAAGCATATTGGAAAGATGGGTTCTCAACAATTTTATCATGAAAATACTTCAACATACTTCCTACCTGTCCAAAAGCCAATTCCCTTTGACGTCTGCTTTGCAAATAATTTTGGCGGTCACGGCAACTGTAGCTAAGGTTAAGTGGTCCACCAACTTGACGAGTGGCCAACTCATGGGCAGCTTTTGGCCTAATACTAGAATCATCAGCTGTTTCTATTTCAAAAGCTTGGAGTTTTGAAATTTTGCGTTGTGATTTCATCAAGTGGAAGGTCTCTGGCAAGTGGAGTGGGTGGTTGTGTTCAAGCACATCAATGACTTCATAATTTCCTGCACCTCGATCCAATGAAATAACCATCTGAGCTTTGCAATCAGTTCTTGTATCAGCTCTAAAACACCTTGTCACATGTTCCGTTTGCCTTTTTGTTCGATGACCCTCATTGAAACAAACATATCTGCATGAAGTCACCTTACCATCCATTTTGCTTACATTTGTGCATCTTTTCCTCACATCAAAGCCAGTACGGCCGCCATATGCCACCCAAAATAACCAACCCTTATATGGATTTTTGAACCTCAAACCAACTTCAAGTAACTTTGTATCAACTTCTGCCATTGCCTTCCACAACAATGAATAGCCCTGTACTCAAATTTCTGAAAAAAAAATTCCAAACTATAATAATCGGAACATATATTTCATTATGGCGGCACTATTATGCTCTTTCATTATCTCAACCACAACATTCTGATATAAAAATGATTCACACTTAGGGGGGACAATTATCTGATAGTAGGTCTGCTCAACATTTTTCAACACATACAGATAGTAACATTTGCCTAAACACAAACATCCAATAACTGGAATTTAGCATTCAATATTTGCTCCATTTAAGACTAAGATCCATTAAACCAAATTGTGCAATTCAGTTGCTCTCCAAGTTATCCTAAAGAATAAAACTTAGAAACACTCACTTGCAATCCACCTCTGCAGATGCTCGGCTCGCTCTGGCAGCCCTCCTCCCCAAAATCTTGGTGCTCCGGTGGCAGGGCAGGGGCCTCGGCCCCCGGCCTCGCGGCGGCCGGCCTGCCTCCCCAATCACGGCGAGGGGCCCCCCTACCTCCCGCCTATCTGGTGGCGACGGCAGGGCAGGCGCCCCGGCCCCGGCCTCGGCGGTTGGCGTGCTGCACTTCCCGGCGCCGGCAGCCCTACTCCAAGCGGGATTGGGACCTCCGCGGGATTGGAACTCCGCCAGCAGCTCTACTCCGGTGCGGGATTGGGACCTCCGCGGTACCGGGCGTGCGCGCAGGATTGGGGCGAGCCGCGAGATTTGGGCGTCGGGCGGCAGAGGAAACAGAGATTTGGGTGAAAACGGAGGCTGCAGGTGGGCCGACGTAGCGGACCGTTGGATTTGTTTTGAACGCTCCAGATCACTCCAATGTCACACCGTGCCATGCCATAGCAATGTCACTGAATCCGAATCCGTACTTATGTTGGGTGGAGCTCGCGTAATTAGCTTATTAGCTACTAGTGGAAGATAACTACCCTACTTTGATGAATCAATCTAGACTAGATGGGTGGCAAAATCACCTGGACCGGGCTAGCCTGTAAACTATGAGCGGTCCACAGAAAGGAATAGGTCTATTTTGCATCCCTCAACTCTTACGTCTAGTTGAATCGCATCCCTCAACGGCAAAACCGGGTATAATGCCTTCCCCCATCTTTAAAACCTGAGTATAATGGTTTGGGAGGCGGTTTCGGCTGACATGTCGGTTTTGACCCTCATTGACTTGCTGAGTCATATGTGGGTCCCACCTGTCAGTGACTTACTCCGTCCTCTTCTACATCACCACTCTTCTTTCTTCTATCTTCCTCCTTTCTACTATCACCATGTGGAGGCCCAATGCAGTCTGGCCCAGTACTAGTCGAATAGCAAGCAATGTTGATCAAGTATGTAGCAGCAGCCCAACCAACGGGAAAAGAAAGAGAAGCAAGCATTCAGCAGACATAATAAATAACCTTAGAGATCACACCAAAGCTTCACTGAAGATAAATAGATGTGAGATGGACTGCTACATGTTCATAAATCATAATGCCAAATCCATTTCAGCTCAAGAGATATGCCTTCCTAGAAAAGGATAATAATAAGCATATTGACATATATACAGTCATGTAATTATGAGTCATTAGCCCCCCTCCAAGCACAGTATGTACACCATACAGCAGAATATCAAAAGATAATATGCATCGTGATTCGTGAGTACTAAGTATAATCACTAGAACAATTAGTGATGGGGCATATATATATAGTAACAGTTCACAGAATAGGGCCCTTAAGAGAATTAAGATGTATTACTAGGCATCGAAGAAGCAGCGACTCTGTAAAAAGAAACATCTTCTGTCGCAAGTTCGATATGTGTTGGGATGGCCGGATGAGTGATTAACCTTCAGAAATGTGAATGGACTACACATAGCTTCTTGTAGCACTTCTCTCCTCTTCGTTAGTAAAATAGCCAACTTGTTAGATAACCTGTATAACATATCACTTGAGTGAGCACTAGTGGATATCAGGATATCTATGAACGAAATGTCCTTTCGGCCTTGTTTGGTTGGGCTTCAATGCAATGGAATAGCACTGCCCAAATTTTTGTATATTCATAATAGGGCCAGCATATAAATAGCTCAAGACTACAACTGAGCACATTTTACCAAGTAGAACCATTATTTGCAATTTTAAGGAACCGCGATGAGTTCTTATTTCCTGATTACCAGTAGAAGGACAAAGGATTGCAAAAGTGGAGGAATTCTCTGCACATTGTTACTCAACAGAGCTAGTAACCATAATCAGTAGGATAACAATATATATATAATGCTCGTAAAATAAAGAGATTATATGGAAGATAAACAATGAGAAAGCCAAAGTAAAGGACAGATACCTCAACTATGCCACCACTACCTATTTCATCCTCCAGGTCTGCAGGATTAAAGCAGGTGAGATGAGGAAGCAATACAGCACAGAGTTGCCCAAGGATCCAACATCCGGAAATATAGAGCCAATCCTTTCACTCCGAGATCCCTCCATCAGAACCCCCACAAGCATGAGAAAAATGAAAGGCATGCAGAAGAGCCATCCAAGCATTACTTTGTCATGTAAAAAAAGGGCAACATCATCACTCTAATGGTGCTCTGGTGAGGTATCTCTAGCGTAGGCGTCTTGATCGATGCACTGATAAAAGATGATGATTCACCAATAAAATGCAAATAATTTCATAGCAATGTTCTGATCAACAGGAGGAAACATTTTTCTAAATAATGGAACAGACATTCCTGCCATTAGCCACTACATGTAGCGATTCAAAAAATAAAAAGGGGGGGGATTATGTAACTAAGAAAACGTACTACAACAATGTGAAATCCACGAAGTGACTATATATCGAATTCACTAGGTAATCCCTAAAACATGAATCATACTTTTTGGAACTAGAAGGATGCATGCGTGCTCATAGATAGCAAAATCTCACTCTATCATGAGAGAACAACACACACAGCTTGACTTTTAATCGAGAAAGCAAGACCAGATTATATTGAACAGCACAAATGTAAAATCTGATTCCAATTAATCTGTACTACCACTACGAAATTGTCAGAGGCAGAGCTCGTGGCACATATCCTACTGTATTACTAGAATTAAACTCATATATAGTGACAAAATAAAGTTCGTAGGTGCAGTGTACTAGAAATCAGCAAATATGAGCCATAGTTCTCAAAACTTTTATCTGTTGGAATCAGCCGTAAGCTCGTAATTAACCATCAGCAAGAGTCATCTTCTAGGTCCTTGTCCATCTTCACAGCACTTCTCTTGAAGCCTGTTTGTTAATAGAATAGCTCAAATTTAATAAGATTGATGGATAATAAATGTTTGGCAACCAAAGTAGAAAATTTGTAAACTTGAAGGAATTTCAGCAAGTAGACCAATAACCTGCCCAGTTACAGATATACGGGTGCAGATTATCAATGAAACATCCTTCTATATAGACAACAGTAACTAACCTACAGTATCAATTTCACCTGACTTGACAAGAGGATGTATTTCAATGAACCTCAAGACATGATGGAGCATACCAGACAGCTAGACATTCAGATTTGAGAGTAAACAGCATAATTCTTCAAACTCACAGTCACAAATACATTGAAACTAGCTATATATATCTTTTTATGATGATAATGGGTTTTGCCTAATTCAGCAGGTAGGATCGACACTGGATTTCCTAGTTCAAAAATCTGTTCATGTTAACCATGCCAATATGCTCATCAAGTCATCCTAGAGTTAAAAAAAATTAAAGAATGACCATGAAACTTGAGGAGTCAATTAAATGCTATTGCTGTCAGCAGTGGACTATGAATACAGAGAACACTTAATAAACATGAGTAAAAAGGAAAATTATTCACAGAAATTAGAGACACACGCGATGAATCAAACGAGAAGGGAGGTTAATTATATAACCTCGGCAGCTTGGCTACACCGGAGCAACACGCTGGCCATGGCCTGCAGGTAGCTTGACCCTCCTCCACACCATCCACGCAGCAGTGGGAAGAAAGAAGAAGAGGAACATCGGGTAAAAGCCGACGAGCCCCACAACCTCGATCGCAGAACCGATTCTCTCCCCGCGTGATCCACTGGCAGCTGAGATCCCCTTCACCAGATTGCCAACAGGCACCAGCACGGCGAAAGGCGTTATAGCGGCGGATGCAGCTAGGATGGGGTGACTGAACGATGCCCTCACTGATGCTGCAAAGCTCTCCGGAGCAGGCTTGAAATTGGCAACGTGGGCACCCACGACATACACAACAAAAATCAAAATTTAGAACAGCGCGGCAAGAAGTGCATGATAACAGGTGCAGCTTATATGCAGGGTTCCATAATTCGGAATCAAATTACCGAAATTTTTCGTTCTTTGTCTTGAACAAAACAAATTTTATTCAGATTTTAAATTTAACCAAATTTTGTTTGAATCTGAACTTTTTTTGGCAAGAAATTTCCAGCAATTTCGCTTCTATTGGTACCCTAGATATAGAACCTCGTTCACAGGAGTAGAGGTAATTGATGCAAATGCAGTAATTAATCCGCACCAGTGCACACACGAAAATGGACCCAAAGGTAGAAGCATTTTTTTTTCTTTTTGAGGAAAGTCGTAGTACCTTGTCTGGCTCGGTGTCTTCGCCGGTGCCGGAGACGGCGATGCGGATGGCGTGCAGCGACAACGCGACGGGGACGACCGGCAGGACGACGAGACTGGCGGCGAGGGAGACCTGCAACGCCACGGCGTTCGCGCGGGAGCCCTCGCCTTGGACGCGGACCGCGACGTGCGAGGCGGCCATGGCCGCACTGGCGACCCACAGGCCACAGGCCCGCGATCCACAGGTACATGAGCGCGTCGGCGGCCGCCGCGGCGAGACGGCTGCGCGCCAGGACGGCCGCGACGGCCTTCCGCACGGGAGACTGCAGCGGCGGCGGTGGGGGAAACGAAGCGATGACGTCTCGCGTCGGCAGCAACTCAGATTCCGGCGGCGGCGGCGGGAGAGCCGCGACGAGGCGCCCGCCCGCAAGGACCTCCACGATGACGGCGGCGGCCATGGGGACGGGGAAACCCTAGCTTCCAGAAGCTTCTCTTCTCGCGCGGTGGTGGAGGCGGAGCGGAGTGGGAAGGAAGACGACGAAAAGGGAAGGAGGGTTTGAAGAAGAAATGGTGGTGATACCCGAATCGGATTGAGGGAGTTTGTTAGGTGCACCCAGTAGACCGTGGGCCTGTTCACTTTGATGTCATTTTCAACCTTAGCAAATTTATAAAAAAATTTTGTAGCTATATAAGAAATCCTGCCAAAATTTTGGCTTTTGTTTTTTGCGTCAAAGTGAACAGGCCCTATACCCCGGAAGCAGCTATGATGACTAGAGTCGTTTGGCTTATTAAACGGCATATTTATAAACAAAAAATAATTTGTGAATAAAACTTTTATATACGTATTCTTAGCGATCTAAAAGCAAAGACTGAAAAATAAAATTCGATGAAAAACCTCAAAATCAACTCCAAATTTAAATTAAAAATTTAAATTTTGGCTGATAAGTATAAGCATAAGCGAAAAGATGGGGTTGTTAGGCCCTTTGACCTGTAGGAAGAATATACTCCCTCCGTCCCAAATATAAGCTTTTTAGCATAGTGATAAGTTAAATATTTTTAACTTTGACTATTAATAAAAAAAATAAAAAAAAGATCAATCATGTAAAATTGGTGTTCCTAGATTTATCATTAAACAAACTATCATAATATGCAACACTTTTTATTTGAAATACCTCACTTTTATAGATATTATTGGTCAAAATAGCATCTCGGAGATCGTGTCAGGGTCCAAAAATACTTACATTTTGGGACAGAGGGAGTAGTAATTTTGGAGGATTTTAATCCTACAAAAAAATTTCATGTGAAGACCTTTGAAACAAAGAATTCAATCTTATCTAATCATTTAAGATTCCTATGGAAAGTAATACCACAGATATTTTGAAGGAAACTTGGCTAGAGCTTTAGGGCTCCTTTGATTTGGAGGAAAACAATACAAATTTTGGAGGATTTCAACCCTATAGGAAAAATTCCTATGAATACCTTTAAATCAAAGGATTGTATCATATCCAATCCTTTGAAATTCCTATGGAATGGACAATCCTATAGAGATTTTGGAGGAAACTTAGCAAGAGCTCAAAGCTCTTGGAAAATTTCCTTTGAGTCTATCTCTCTTATCCGATCTCTGTGTTTTTCCTACTGTCATTCCTATATTTTGCAATCCTCTGTTTTACACTTTCATTTATGTTAGAATCATGTGTTTTCCTATTCCTTCGTTTTTCATTCCTGCGAACCAAAGGGGTCGATCTTAACCTTTTGGGAAATTTCCCTTAAGTTTATCTCTCTCATTTGATTTCTATGATCTAATCAAATGATTATTCCTATATTTTTCGTGTGTTTTGTAATTTTTTATTTTGCACTTACATTCATGCCAGAATCTTGTGTTTTTCATATTCCTTCGTTTTTTTCAATGCTACAATTCAAATGGTTTTTTCAATCCTGTTATTTAAATGAACCAACGGGAAGAACCAAAGGATAGTTAATTGTTCTATGATTGAAGTCACAAGACTATTGCATTCTTTGTTCAGTTTGGAGGAGATTTTCAGCCCCAAGCAAAAAAAAAAAAACTCATTAACACATGATTAATTAATTAAATATTAAATATAAACTTAAAAATGAATTTATTTATTTATCGAAGAACTTATATATATATATATATATATATATATATATATATATATATATATATATATATATATATATATATATATATATATATATATATAAATAAAAGAACGTATCGTTTAATACTTTGAAAAACATACTAACGGAAACAGAAAGTTGTAGTTCGAAGTTAAAGAAAAGAATAATCCGGAGTTAAAACAATTTTAGCACAATACTCCTAATTTAATCTTAAAATTAAGTTATAATTCAAAAATGATTGCAGCTTATAAGCTAAATCTGAAACAAATAGACCAGCTAATCTGAAACAAATATGCGAAGTATTGCTTACCACATGTTTTGTACTTTTAACTATAGCAAAGTCAAGACAAATAATTAACTTTACAAACATATGAACCGTGCTGCTAAAAAATCGTCAAGCCGTGCTGCTAAAAAGATGTCGCATCCCTTAGGTACGACAATAAACGTCCAACACCCTAACATATATATGCTCCATCCCTTTTCCACGAATGCACGTGAAATTTAGCGAATGATTTATCAGAAATTATAACGCCTAAGCATGTAACCCCCAACAAGTTTCAAGCTCTAGTTAAGAGCAGACCAACAGGCAACAGCATCAACGATCGATGAGCTGAACAAAATGTCAAGAGCAAATCACCTGTTAAGTTATTGACCATTGCGGTCCAAAAGGTTAATAAAACACACACGCGCCGCATTGATCTGTCTGTCAACTTTTAAATCTCGCGGTTGTAGTGAGAAAGATTTAACTATTCACCTTGTAGCTATCAAAACCCAGAAATCCTACAAACTGCAGTTATCACAGAAATTATTGCAGTAGCAGCTCCAGACACAAAATCACTTGTTACTGAAAGGTCCATAAAACATCAACGAAACAGCATATCAACTAGTTCAATCACAGAACATTTCAATTACGATATTATGTCCAGAGAAGCATTGACTGTGTTTTCTGCCAAATAAGGTCTTACCATGACAAGTATGCTCATAAGTCATTCCAACAGAATAAACACCTTAATTCCAAATTGCCAAATGCGCAGATCAGCTCATGGAACATGTCCTACTGTACTACTAGCATTGAACTAAGTTACAAAATAGAAGTTCGTAGATGCAAAGTACTAGAAACCATCATGTCAAAAAAAGTACTAGAAACCAGTATACGTAAAAGCCAAATATAGTTTTCAAAACTTTGATCTGATGGCATCAGCCATAAGCCCATAATTAACCATCAGCAAGAGTCATCCTGTAGGTCCCTGTCTGACCATCTTCACAGCCGTACTTCTCTTCAAGTCTTTGTCTGTTAACAGAATAACCCAAATTAAATAAGATCGGTGTGTAAATGTTTGTAAACCAAAAGAGCAGACAATGTTAGACTTGTAGGAATTTCAGTAAGTTTTCCGTAAGTAGACCAATTACACACTTGAATGTGCAGCTTATCAAAGAAACATTTGGACAACAGTAACTATCCTACTGTGTAGTTTTCACCTAACTGGACTGACAGGAGAAGGTATTTCCTGCAACCTCAGACCTGATGGAGCATACCAGGCAGCTAGACATACATATTTGAGAGAACACCGTAATTCTTCAAATTCACAAGTCACAAATACAGGACTACAGCTGTGCCTCTAGAGTGAAACTAGAGCATTTGATGATTAAGGCCATAAGGTGTTGCCTAATTAAGAAAGCTGCCTAATTAAGCAAGTAGGATTAAGATAAGGGACTGCCTAATTCAAAATTTGTTCATGTTAACAATGCTATTAGTCTCATCCAGTCACTCTGCAGTTAAAAACTAAAGAATGCCCGTGGTTCGCGAAAATATATGAATCAATTCAATGCGATCAATGTCAGTGGGCACAGTGGACTAAGAACACACAGAACACTTTATTTTCTCCCTAATAAACACGGTTAAAAAGGGAATTGCTCGCAGAATTACACAATAAAAAGGGAGATTAATTACTATACCTTGACGGCTTGTCAGCTTGGCTACACCGGAACAACACGGTGGCCATGGCCAGGTAGCTTCACCCTCCACACCCTCAGCGCAAGATTGGGAGTAAGGACGAAGAGATTGATCACGTGAAAGCCCACGAGCCCCACATCACCAATTACAGAGCCAATCATCTCCCTGCACGATCCCTTGGCAGCTGAATCCCCCTTAACCAGAGCACCAAGAGACACCAGCAACACGAAAGCCATTAAAGCGATTGACCCAACGCAGATGGTGTCGCTGAGCACTTCCCGTGCTGCTGCTGCAAAGCTCTTCGGAGCAGGCTTCTGTCCAAGTCGTCATCCATCCACACGACACAGTTCATGCACAACAAAATCAACAAGACAAGATTTACAAGTTAGAATGAAGAGATGCAGCAAGATGAGCACGATCAGGTGCAGTTCATATGCGGAATTGATTCGGATACAGTAGTAAGAATTTGGACATGAAGGTGTACCTCGTCTGGCTCATCGGTGTCGGAGACGGCGAGGCGGACGGCGTGCAGCAACGTGGCGAAGGGGAAGACCGGCAGGAAGACGAGGAGGACGGCGACGCGGGAGACCTCGAACGCCAAGGCGTACGCGCGGGAGCCCTCGCCGAGGGCGCGGGCCGCGACGTCCTGCGCGGCCATGCCCGCCTAGAAGATCCACATGCCCGCGAGCGCCAGGTACATGAGCGCATCGGCGGCGGCCGCGGCGAGACGGCTGCGCGCCAGGACCGCCGCGACGGTGTTCCTCCGCGCCGGCGGGAGCACCGCGGCGAGGCGGCCGCTCGCCAGGGCCTCCGCGACGGAATCCAGCGACCTCCTCAGCTCGTGGTCCGGCGGCAGCGGGAGAACCGCGACGAGGCGGCCGCGGCCGCCGTCCACCGGGAACTCCACGACGATGTCTTTCAGCGTCGGCTGCACCTGGGGCACCGGCGGTGGCAGCAGGACGGGCACCACCACAGCGGCGTCGGGGGCGGCGGCCATGGGGACGGGGAAACCCTAGCTTCCAGAAGCTTCTCTCTCGCGCTGTGGTGGAGGCGAAGTGGTTGGAGTGTGGAGGGCGTGTGGGGTTTGCGGCGTGGGAAGACGACGAAAACAGAAGCAAAGGGGAGGAGAAATGCCGGGTGATGATGCCCGAAGCGGAGAAATCTTGTTAGGCGCACCCAGTAGAATGTACCCGGAAACGGCTACTATGGAAGTTATGGACTTATGGTACGTTTGAAATATAGGATTTTCAAAACGGAGGAATATGAAAATCAATATAAGATTTTCACTAGAATACAGTTACAGAGTACAGAAAAAATACAATAATGATCGTTGACTGGACTGTAAGAAAAAAAGAGAGAGAAAAAAACCCTATCGTTTTGTTAAGATTTAATTGTAAAGTTAATTTTGTGTTTTCTTATTGTAGTTTAATTTATAATATTTTATTTTATACTACTTATGACACATAAATAAAAGTTTTACTCACGAATTAGTTGCTAATAAGCGATATAGAGAAGCATAAGCATAAGCGAAAATGGAACTAAAAAGGGTGAAAGGAAACTTTCAAATGGTTATATAAGAGAAAAATCCTACATGATAAAAATCTTACAAAATTTTTATTCTGTAGTATATTTTTTTCTTCAAATAAAGAGACCCTGCGAAAAAAAAAATTGGCTACAATTTACAGGACAAGTGACCAAAGAAGAAAAACAATTTTAGAACAGATTTTATTGTTTGCGGTCAAAAGCCAAGAATTATACAACAAATGAATTAATTCTAAAATTGAAATTTGGCTGCGGTCTACAAGCCGAAGCGAAGCGGAAACAAATAGGCCCAACGCTAGGCAAGCGTAGTCTAACTACTAAGCTACCGCAGGTTTTGTGGAAAAAATGTTAGAATGAAACACAACTATACCAAGTAATGCAAATACCCAAGCTTGCCCTGTTTAGTTTTCAGGCAAAAATTTTACACCATGTCACATCGAATGTTTAGACACATATATGAAGTATTAAACATAGAAAAAAAAAACTAATTACACAATTTGTGTATAAATTGCGAGACAAATTTTTTAAACCTAATTAGTTCATGATTTGACAATATAGTGCTACAGTAAATATTTGCTAATGACAGATTAGTTAGGCTTAATAAATTCGTCTCGCAGTTTACAGGCGGAATGTGTAATTTGTTTTATTATTAGTCTACGTATAATATTTCAAATGTGTGTCCGTATATCCAATATGACACACCAAAACTTTACACCCTGATCTAAACATCCCCTTTATGATACATGAACCATGGTGCCAAGTGTGATAAACCATAAAAACTAAACACATGTCTAAATTGACTAAACACATGCCTAAAGACTGAAGAGGTGTTGCATCAACAAACCTTAGCATCCGTCCCTTTTCAAAGAATGCAAACACAAAACTTTTAGCAACTGGTTGTCCACAATTTGTACTGAGCACTCAGCGGTTTTTAAGCACTGACTAGTTAAAGAGAATGCCAGCAGCATCAACCATGCATGAGGTGAAAAAAAATATCAGGAGCAAATCACTTGTTGCAGCTACAGTATCAAGTCCAAAGTTTGTGTGACGGTTGTGGCCTAATACACATGCATGGGACCTGTCTGTTAACTCTGAAAACTCGCGGTTGTAGTATGATACATTAACTAGAGTCACCTCTAGTTACCAACAGGGACCAAAACCCAGATATACTACAAACTGCAGTTATCACAGAAATATTGTAGCAGAAGAAACCCAGACACAAATCACTTCCCCGAAGGTCCATCAAGTATCAACCATGCCAGTACATAAACAGATCACCTAGTTCAATACAAAACATGCCTGAATTTAAAATACGAACGCGACTCATTCATTCAATGTTTTCGTTTTTAACCGCAGGAGAAACGCTAACTCAAAGCAACACCTAAAATAAATAAGCATCGCATCTGGTAATTAATTCCAAACATTGTTCATAGTATCATAGGAATCATAAAGAAAAAGGGCGAGATATCATGCATGTAATCCAATAGCTCGCAGATCCCGGGAAGTGGATTTGTCACAGTATGCTCCAATAACTCCTAGGTCCCCAAAACTGCAATCATCGAAGTAATGTCAGTAGCATTTCCTTGAAGGTATTGTCAAAAAAAAAAGTTAAGTGTGTGTGCCAAACATCCAAATTTCCAATAGTCAGATCAGAAGGCAAAATTATATTACAATCATCCTATTCAAATCTAGATACTTGCTTAAATTGATCGATGGGCCATAACTAAGAACTACTAGGAAATTAGGAGGCAGATGAATATTCATTACATTTGTAATCTTCTAGGCATGTGCCATCAGAATTCCGTCAAAAATTTGATTCTGCCAATGCCAATTATGACCCAGCGACAAAAGAATATTAAGTAGAGAAGGCAGTATTTATTCAATTGATAACAGATAAATTAAATGAGGTAATATTTATACCATGGACCATAAGTCCATAACTACTCTAAATATCTACCAAACAAATACTCCGATTTTCAAATACACATCCAGTGTAATCTGACTAAATAAAGTGATATAACAAGCTTTCCAAACATGCATGTTCATTTATTACTGAGGATCTAAGATTCCACGTTAAAGACTAATATCACAAGTCTAATGTTGGACCCTGTGTTTTGTACCAGATATAAAGTAAGTACAACAATATAATATTGAGCAAGGGTAGATAAATAGCAGGAAAGTTGATACTTTAATTATGACTGATGAACAAAAATAACTTGTAGCCCACTCCAAGCAAAAAATGCACCTACGAACTACAAATTTTGCGCTAACAGACAATCAGGCAAAGGAAGGATCAAGTTAGTACAATGTAAAGTTTTTGCAGATCAAAGTTTTTTTTTCTTTGCACAAAGAGTATAAGCACGATATATCATTAAAAAAAGGTACAGTCACATAACAGAGGATAACATATATAGGGCATGACAATAACAACGTTACCAGTACTAGTTAAGATGTGCAGTGAAGAGAAACGTACCTTGTACCAGAATATAATGCTACCTCAGCAGCCACACTTCCAATCTAGGAATGTATCCAAACTGCGCGGATCACTTTTGGAAGTAGAAAGAATACTGATAAAGCATGCCAACCAAATAATCCAACATCAGCAAGTATCCAGCCAATACTCTGTCTGCTAAATTCGTTTTCTGGTGAAAATCCAATGATCAGACTGCCAATCATCCCAAACCCTAGAAGAACGAAACCAATTTTGCATGGGAACTCGATTTCTTTAATGATCTGGTTCCATTTTACTCTGCATTCAGGATGCTGCTCCGGTGGCAATTCCATTGCTGCATTTGTGCTTACCAGCTACGATCACCATCACATGCAAATAATTCGAGTAGGGAAAATGGACGATAATTAGTTAACATATATATATGGCTCTGGAAGACTGGAACATATGTAACACATAATAAGAAACAATTATTTCAAACTTCATTTATATATCGGTACAGGGAAAGGTTTTGGCCCATCCAATCAGCTAATGTTTATACACAACCAAGACTTTGAACATTGGTTTCACCAAAAATACCACTATTCCCAAAAAAAAGTTATTCAAAAAAGCTAAGTTACCAGACAACACCAACCGGAATTTTTTGGCATGACTAAAGCACAAATTTTCAAAATATCCGACATACATAATACATTAGAAGATAAAAAAAATAGATCAAAATGATCATAAGGCAATCACATGAAGGGATACACATCATAAATATAATCTGATATAGTCCAGCACAAATTACTGTAAGAATAAATACAGTTTCAAAATGGAACATGTCCCTTTTTTTCATTCTTTTCCTATTGGAATGTAAGTGTGTAACAACAAATAAACTCATCTGAGAAGATTGACTTGACATAATGTCAAAACTAAATTTTAAATTTGAATTATCCCGGCTTGTATAATGGTAACCAGCCAACCGGCTTAGAAGCAGTGACCGGCCAGTCACTGCTAGGATCTTGAACTCAGACCACCACACATTAAAACATCATTGAGACTACAAACGTTGAGGGACGTCAAAGGATGCCAAGTATCGTTCCAAGAGAACAGCAGTAAACAGCAAAAAACAGGGGCACGTCATTCCACATCATTAAGGCGTAAAGCTGCTATGTCATGTGCAAGTAAAACTCAATTATGTATGAAATTCCAGAACTTGCTGCAATTGGCTCTGTAAAGACGTGGTGATTTTTTTTTTATAATAAGGAAGATGATCACATCCCCAGCCTCTACATCTATAATGAACACAGCCACAAATAAGTTTGGAGACATCAGCCCAAAGGAATTATCTGCCATGGACTATGAAAGTATGAAACAGTAGTATTCTCAAGCAAGGCATCTTCTGAAATGCAATTGACATATCTGGATGATTAAACACGACACATGCATTCCTCAGCTCCATGCTTTGCAATTTCCTTTTGAACATTTGTGCCAGGGGTAGTCAAATTTCCGAGATTTCAGATATGCCAACGAATTTCTTTCAAATTTGAACAAATTTTGGCTGAATTTGGATAAAACTTGACCAAATTAACAGAAAATTGTTCTTTTTGTTGTAACTTTTGGGCGAAATAGTTTTGTTCCGGGGGTCCAAAATTTTGGGAATTTCGAACCAAAATCGCAAACACTGATCAGCTCTGGGCAAACTAAATTTGGAGGGAGTTCAAACAGAATATTTTAGGATACACGCAAAAGCACGAAAAACTTGAAAGAGAACGCATAAACGATCCTCGCGGCATACCATCTCCCTGTCTTCCATCAGGGTCGGAGGCCCAGCATCGCGCAGCCTCTCCATCGCCATGGCCAACAGCTGCGGCACGACGGTGGGGAACACGAGGAGCGCGAACGCGAACTGGCCGGCCTCGAGGACGGCGAAGCCGCCGCGCTCCATGGCGAGCCCCGCCTCGCCGCCGACCCAGCGCCCGGCGATGGCGGGGAGGACTCCCGCGGCGGCGGTCACCCAGCCCACGCCGAGGGTGACGGCGGGCAGGGCCCTCCCCGCCGCCGCCGCCGCCGCCAGCGCCCTCCGTGCCCACGCCACCTTCCCCGACATCACCTGACGGCGCCACCCCCGCGCCGCCGCCGCTGATGATCCGGTGAACTCCATGGAATGGGAAACCCTAGCTTCCGCGGAGCTCGAGCTCTCGCTCTCGCTTGCAGCGCTCGTGGAGTGGGAGAGAGTGGGGTGGCTGGAGGCGGACGCGAGAACGAGTTTATTAATTTCAGCTTTGGACGCGGGGAGAGTGTCGGGCTATCGGGTCGGGTTCGTACCGGAGCAAGACGGTGCCGGTGCGGGCTGCCCTGTGAGCTCCGATCCAAATGGGCGTTCAAACATTAGCTGCACATACTCCCCCACTCGTAAAGGAAATCGTTTAGAACAGCCACACGGTCTTCAAAATATAACTTTGATTTTTTGTTTCTATAAAAATATTTATTGAAAAGTGATATATGTATACTTTTATGAAAGTATTTTTCAAGACAAATCTATTAATATAATTTTTGTATTAGTTATTTATTATTTATATTCTAAAGATTTGACTTAAACTTTGTCCTAAACGACTTTTTTTACGAGTACGGAGAGAGTATAGTTCAACGCAACTGTACTGTTTTGGGAAGCCAAAAAGATTATCAACTTCTCTCTAAAAAAGGATTATCATCTCATTAGCAAAAAGATTATCACCTTTGTGAGATTTTCGGCCGTTGGATCCAGAATGGAGATTCAGCACGAGCAACAACTCCACACCAAACAACATTCACCTCCAGCTTCATCGTTTGTTCTTTAGCTTATTAGCCTTAGTCGGAATTTAAATTTTAAATCTTAATTTTAGATGATTTTGATGCTTTTTTATTGTGGTTTTTTTTTCAACATTATATAAAATCTTTTTATGCATAAACTATTCTTTATTGCTAATAAACGTTACCGCTTATAATCATCTGTTAGTCATTTTTTTCAACCTATTACAAAATCAATTTTGTATCGCTTTGTTCCAGATATGTTCAATTAGTTGCCGTTTAGGTTAAACTGGATTTAACAGCAACCTAATTTCCATATTTAGCTTTAACTATGATTTTCTACTGATTCGCTTCGACACCTACCGTTTTGATAGCTAAAATCAAGAGGAAACCAGAGCTTGGTGCCCAGCGGAAAAAAAAAGCTTAGAGACATTGCGATGCCACGAGAGTAGACCCTTTATAATTTAACAAACGCTTGTAAATAAACCCTTTATAATACCATAAAGAGGGTTGGTGGCCAGGGGCGGTACCACCCATTAGGCGAGGTTGGGCGGCCGGCCCAGCTACGGCCCGCGCCGCCCCAAACCTCCATATCCTTTTTGGGCCGCTTACCACCACATCCAATTCACAATTGGCCCATAAATAAACAGCTCAAGTGTCCAATTTTAATCCTGCATATGTGATGCTTTCCTCAGTCAATTCCTCGACACTGCTCACCCCCGTCCCCTACTATAGTTAGGTGCCTAATGTTTTTCTCTCTCTCTCCTTTCTAAGCAAAATAATAATCATCTTATTCTAGGTATGCGATATCTTCTCATATATTTATTTTTTAAAAGATATCTATTAACCATGCTTTATGAATTGACTCATATTTGCAAATTGATATGTTTACTAGTATCTTTTTATGTATGATGAATTATGTATGGAGCAAAAATTATTACTTTATTTTAATATCATTTTTGTTTTTTGTTTGCCTTAATTTATTGATTATACTATATGTTTATATGATTACAACATAAATATGGTATTTTTTCATTTAGTTGTTCTTATTGAGACGAGCATCTTCGCCCCATCTTTATTTTAATCCTGTGTCCGTCACTGTTGATGGCTAAAGCTCTAAATGACGGGCAACAGCGAATAATACCAGCGCAGGAAGAGTCAGAAATATACCGCAATACTGCTGCCACCATGGTCTCGAGTGATTTTTTTTTGGGGGGGGGGGGGTGAGCGAGGCGGGGCGGGGTGGAGGGGTGGTGCGACCCATGGTTGGCAAGGCAAAATGGCTCTCCAAGTTTAACCAGTGAGTCGTGGGGTTTGGCCAGCTAGATGGAGAGATCGTTGGAGAGCCATTTGACCATTCTTTTATAGATGTTGTAAGTTAGAGGATCTCAATACTTTGAGAGTTTAGGCTAGATGCACGAGCTTGATGTACTCCAAAATGAATTATTTTTGGTGTTGGAAATTTATCACAAAGAGTTGATTTGAAGCCCCTTATCTACCCTCCCTCCACAATGGTAGTAGGTGGTAAGGTAGTACTCTCTCCAGTCTCCATAAAAAAAGAATGTCTCTTTAGCTGTAGGTACACTCGAACTCTTAATATCACTTTATCTTATTCTTCTCATTTTAGCCTTCTAATCACTACTTCAACATTAGTAGTCCCTTCTGCTCGCTCTCTCTCTATACTAAGGGAGGGTATGATAGCCTTTTGGTATCTTATTTGATCTAAAGCATCTATCTTGTCTTTTTCAACGGAGGTTGTAGTAAAATAAGATGATCACTTCAACACCGCTTACCTGTTAATGAGGGGTATATTGGTGTTGTTTCCTCCAACTTAATTAGTCTTCTGTTTGTACAAATCATTTTTTTTAAAGATGGAGATAGGAGTACCAATTTGTATTCTACCAGAATGAACAAATTTTGAATAATTTTGGAAGCAATGATTTCTATACCACCCTACCCCCCTTTTTTTTTTTGCAAAACCTACGGAAATTAAATTTACTCTTGTCAAAATACGGCAAAATATACCAGGAGGGCCAAATGGATAAAACTTTGAACATTTAATTGTGACCTTAATTAGGTTTGTCTGACCTACGCATATATAGGGCCAAAAAGCGGATAGTAGGATTTGATTTTGAACACCATAATATGCAACCAATCTTGTCCTTTTTCTTTAGAAGCGTGAAAAATATTATACTCCCTACGTAGGTTCCTAAAATATAAGTATATTTAGGATGGTTTACAAGCCGAAGCTGGAACAAATTGGCCCAACGTTGTGCAAGTGTAGCCTACCTCATGTTTTGTCCACAAAGTTTGAAGCATAACTATACCAAGTAATGCAAATAAACCAAATCCATGCTACATGAACCATGCATGGTGCTAAAAAAGGTCTAATTAAAGAGGTATTGCATCCATAAATCCTAGAATCCATCCGTTTTCAACAAATGCAAACATGGAATTTTTAGCAACTGATTATCCACAATGGGAACACGTAATTAAGCAGTTTTTAAGCACCAACTACTACCTATGTTTCACACTACAAGACATTTTGGATTTTGAATAGATTCATACATGTGCTTCATATGTGTCCATAGTCCAAATTCATATGGATGCTAACAAATCTAGATAAAGGATGAAGAGAACAAAACGTCTTATAATGTGAAATGTAGGGAGTAGTTAAGAGAAGACCGGCGGCATCAACTGTGCAAGAGCTGAAAAAAAATATTAGGAGCAAACAGCCTGTTGCAATTATAGAATCATCAAGGCCAAAGTTTGAGTAAAGATTGTGCCCTAACACGCATACGTAGGAGTATGGGACCTGTCAACTTTTCAGCACTCCTAGTTCTACTGATGAAGATATAACTAGTTACATCTAGTTACCAAAGCCCAGAGATCCTACAAACTGCAGCAGTTCCAGACAGAAATCACTTTCCCAAAGGTCCATCAAAAATCAACCATATCAGCATATGAACTATTAGTTCAATCACAAAACATGCCTGATTGAAAATACGAACGTCATTCATTCAATGCTTTTTTGTTTGACTGCTGGAGAGTGGAGACACGCTAACTCAAAGCAACACCTAAAATAAATAAGCATCACGCCTGGTAATTAATTCCAAATATTGTTCATAGTATCATAGTCATCGTGAAGAAAACAGGCAAGATATCATGCACTTAATACGATAGCTTGCAGATTCCGGAAGTGAATTTGTCACAGTATTCTCCAATAATTTCCAGGTTCCCAAAACTGCAATAATCATTGTGACATATGTCAGTAGCTTTTCCTTGCGTGAATTGTTGAAAAGAAAGTTCAAGGAGTGCCAGAGACATCAATAGAACAGAAACAGAGTAATATACAATCATCTTATTTGAAGTCTTAAGAGTCTAGATACTTGCTTGATCGATGACATAGTATTAGAAAGTTAGGAGGCAGAATATCCATTACGTTTGTTCATGTTCTAGGCATGTGCCATCAAAACTCCATCAAATTTGCTTCTGCTAGATAGTTATTACTCAGATATATACCAGACTAATAACAGATAAAAGATGTAATATTTAATTTGTACCAGATGGGTAACAAATACTCTGAACATCTACCAAACAAAATAACTGTTGAAGTGTATAAAGTGAATTGTCCGCCTTTCCCTATCAGCTTAGGCTTTTGGGTTGAACTGGTCGGTGCATACAACTTAATATGGTATCAGAGCCAGAGGTCTCGAGTTCGAATCCTGGCTGGCGCGCAATTAAATAAAATAATTGCAGCCCACTCCAATATTCCACGCTTGAGACTTGAGGGGGTCTCGCGTGAGGGGGAGTGTTGGAGTGTATAAAGTGAATTGCCCGCCTTTTCCTATCAGCTTAGGCTTTTGGGTTGAGCTGGTCGGTGCATGCAACTTAATAATAACAAATAGTGATCTGATTTGATTTTCAGGTACACACGTCTAATTCTGACCAAATGAAATGATAACATGCCTACAAACAGGGTATAGCCAAATGCATGTTCATTTATTATAGAGGCATCTAAAATTCCACATTAAAGACATATTACAAGTCTAAGGTTGGAGCCTGTATTTTGTACCAGACATAAAATGCAACAATATAGTATTAAGCAAGGAGAATAAAAAGCAGGAGAGCGAGAATGTATGACTAATGAACAAACATAACTCATAGCCCACTTCAAGAAAAATGTGCCTACTAATAACTACAATATTTGTGTTGGAAGACAAACAAGCAAAGGTAGGATCAAGTTAGTTATTCACATTTAATTTGATGGTCAGAGGCGAACTGAAAGCTAAGCAATGGTAATTAAGAGATCCGGAGGAAAATAGGGATGTCGCCTACATTACCCATAATATGTTTTAGTATCAACATAATTTCATAGGGTCATTTGATCTGAATGCTACATGAAGAACATAAACCAGATGATGGAACACGGAGACCTAGGATGTAGGTCTTGCAAATCAAAGTTTCTTTTCTTTCCACAAAGAGTACAAGCACGATATAAATCAGGTACAGCCATATAACGAAGGATAACATAGGGCATCACAGAAACACTATTACCAGTTAAGATGTACAGTGAAGAGGGATGTACCTTGTACCGGCATGCTACCCCAGCGGCCACACCTGCACTCTAGGAACGTACCCGAAGTGTGAGGATCACTTTTGGAAGTAGAAAAAATCCTACTAGAGCATGCCAACCCAAAAATCCAACATCAGCAAGTATCCAGCCAATATTCTTTCTGCTAAATTCTTTTTCTGGTGAAAATCCAGTGATCATCAAGCCAATCATCGCAACTCCTAGGAGGACGAAGCTAATGCTGAGTGGGAACACGATTTCTTGAGCCAGCTGATTCCATTTTCCTCTGCGTTCACGATGGTGCTCCAGGATGGATAATTCCATTGTAGCAATTGTTCTTACCAGCTATTGTAACCACCATGACATGCAAATAATTGAGTAGGCATGGAAGAGAATTAGTTTACAATACATAGGCTCTAGAACATTCTAACACATAATTAATAAGAAACAAATATTGCAAACTTCATTTATGTAACGATGCAGGAAAGGTTTTTGGTCGATCCAAATAGCTGATGGTTATTACTGCTGTCCGAACCGCAACCAAAATTTTGAATTTGGTTTCACTAAAAATACCACTACCCCCAAAAATACTATTCAAAAACTAGTTACCGGTAATTAATGGCCAGAGAATTTTGGCGTGACAGAATGCAATTTTTTGTATATCCAATATACATAATATATTAATGGATCACATTATGTCAAAATGATCATAAGGGAATCGCATAAAGGGATATGCATCATAACTGTAAGTCTGTAATCTGTTATATAGTCCTTCACAAACTACTTTAATAATAGATACAATTTTACAATATATATTTTCATCTTTCTTCCCTATATATTGGAATGTAACAACAAATAACCTTGTATGGAAAAAATCAACTTGACATAATGTCAAAATTAAATTTAAAATTTGAATCCAAATTATTCTGGCTGGTATAATGGTAACCAGCCGACTGGCTTAGGACCAGTGACCAGCCAGTCACTGCTGGGATCTTGAACTCTGACCACCACACAGTAAACACCACTAAGATTACAAATGTAAAAGATGCCAAGTGCTGTTCCATGGTACCTCAAAAAATACAGCAAAAACCAGAAGCACATGATTTGTAAAAGCGTAAAGCTGCTATATCATGTGCAAGTAAAATTTAGATTATGTATGGAACTTCAGAATTTGCTGCAATTGGCTCTGAGAAGACGTGGTGACTTTCTTGTTTAATGACAAGGAAGATGATCACATCCCCAGCCTCTAAATCTAGGATGAACACAGCAACAAAGTTTGGGGACATGTCGTGACTGACTATTGAGTAGAAAAGAATTACTATCTGCTATTTACACTGGGGCGCACAGAAATTTCCGAGAAAATTTCGAACGAAATTTGAACAAATTTTGACTAAATTAAAAATAAAATAAATTTTCGGACGAAATAGTTCCATTAATTGGTGGGTTGGTGGGTGGGGTTGGGTTTGGGGGTGCTCCGAAATGTCGAACCGATATTTCAAACACTGCTATGGACTATGGTCGACATATATGCATTCTTGATTCTAACACATATGAACAACGGTAGGAATCAAAGCATCATCTGAAATGGAATTGAAAGATCAGGATAATTAAACACGATGCCTCCTATATATATTACTCAGCTCTGAGGGAGTCAAACAACAAAAATAGAGAAACAAAATACATAAAAATAGGAGAAGAAATTTTTTTTAGTTTTTGCGGCATACCATCCCCCTGCCTCCCATCAGAGGCCCAGCAAGCAGACGCAGCTGCATCACCATTAGCAGCACGGCGATGGGGACCACGAGGAGCATGAACACGTGCTGCCCGGCGCCGACGACGTGGACGCCCGCGACCTCCATGGCGCGCCCCACCTCGCCGCCGACCCAGCGCCCGACGATGGGGGCGATCCCGGCGACGGCGGTCACCCAGCCCACGACGACGGTGGCGGGAAGCCAGGCGGCCACGGCGCGGGAGAGGCGGCGGCGCAGGGACCTCTCCACCGCCCTCAGGACCCACCACCCCGGCTCCGGCACCCGGCGCCGGAAACCTCGCGCTGCTCCCCCGGCCGCCTCCATGGAGAGAGACCAAACCCTAGCTCGCTCGCTCGCAGCTATGGCGGAGTTGGGAGTGAGTGAGTGAGAGTGTGTGGCGGCGGACGCGAGAGACCGAATTAACTTCAGCTTTGAATGCGGATGTGGTCGGGTTGTCGCGCCTTGTCGGGTCGGGTCCGTGCCGGTAAAGCCCGGATCCAAATGGGGATCAACTTTTTTAAATATTACTGCCTCCGATTCAGTTACAAGACTTTCTAACATTATCCACATTCATATATATGTTAATGAATCTAGACATATACATTTATATAGATATAGATGTTAATAAATCTAGACACACATATATCATTAACATATACTAGAATGTCTTATAATATGAAACGAAGAAATTACCTCCGTCCCAAGATAAATGCAGTCATGGATATCATATCCAGCGTTTGACCGTTCGTCTTAGTTGAAAAAATTATGAAAATTTTTTAAAAAATGAATCACATATAAAAATACTATTCATGTTTTATCATCTAATAAAAATAAAAATAGTAATCATAAAAAAATTTCAAATAAGATGAAAGGTTAAACGTTGGACATAAACAGTACAAAATTATATTTATTTTGGGACGAAGGGAGTACTATACAAACGTAGCACTCACAATGGGCGCGCACTCACACACTATGAACATATACACACATATCTTATCCTTATGAGCACATTTGAAATACCGGGCCGACATATTTTGATATTGATAAAATTACCATGAATATCTTGATGTAGATTGGTACAAGCACTTAAAAAAATAATTAGCGGTAAATATGAGTACCCTTGTTAAGTGTAGAACCTAAACCAAAACAGTTTGTACCCAGCAATGTAACAATAAGAGTTGGTCTTCCCCGCAAAAAAAAAAAAAGAGTTGGTCTTTTCTTTTTGGTACTTTTACTATCATTTTTTTTACCAAAGTAAGTTTATTAAAAACATATAAGTTTGTGACATTATGATATTATTATTCAAGGAAAATCTATGTACGTCATTTGTTCCTTTATACTACGCATTTGAGAAACTATTTCAAACATTTGTATGACAAAAGAGTATTTGTATCGTGCTAAAATGAAAGAATTTTGTGTTGTCTTCAATGAAATTATACCTATCACCCTACATGATATATTGAATTGATTCTTGTCATAATACAGCAAAACTTGTATATTCCAAAGGTCAAATCTATGAAACTTTCAACGTTTAATTGGAACATTAAGTTTGTGATCTATACTCATAGAGGGGGAATTTTGAACACAATAATTTACTCATCATTTTGACATCATATACAACCAATTTTGTCCCATTTTTTTTCCTTCAGAAGTGTGAAAAGTGTTCTATATGGTTCAGTCCAATTTTAACCTTCTCCATTGGAACATACAAAATCTGTTGGATATTTAGGATTTAGGATTTGATAATAATAGTTTAATCCTGATTTACAAAATATTTCCCTGATTCTCGTGGAAAGCAAATTGTTTCTCGTTAATTTGTTCTACATGTTGACATGGGACCTCAGTTTTTTTTTTTTAAGAAAACACAAAGAACTCGTATATCTAAAAGAGGACCTAGCTTGGCCTAACTTGGAAGGACAATTTTTACGGTAGATTCAACTGGTAGCACAGTAAATACAGACCTTTTAATCTTTTATCATCTAATAAACTACAGTAATTATATTACCATTTCAACCATAGACTATAGAATAATTTTTTTCCCTACATAATAGAACTGATAAATCAGTGGCTTGGCTTAGATTGTTTCTATAGCCGATAATACTGGCGGAAGTACTCTACTACTACAACCACCGTGCAGCTGGTAAACCAGAACATCCTATGAAGCTAAAAGCATGTGCCTCCCGGCGCGCGATGCAGCTCATGCTGCCATGAAACCACTATTGCCAGGCATTGATGAAAGCAATGAGCCAATGCCATGTAATGTAATGTACCAATGCAAGTTCAGATACATGTCTGAATTGTTTAACTGCAAGCTGCTTTGCTTAGCAGTCAGAATCAAGCACAGCAGGAAGTAGAATATCTGAAAATACTCTAAGCTCAATGCAGAAAGAGATGTTCAAATCTTATCGGCCACTATCACAAATGCAGTGCTCTGAGGATAAACTCTGCAGCCGTGCAATATGAGAGCAGGCATCCACGACATCGATCACGTGTTCATGCCAGATTAACAATATTTCCAGAAATTCAAGTGACATGAACAAGAAAGCCTACCAGTACGCTAGTCGATTGCTAGGTGAGTTACATGACATGCCAAGAGCGGTTCAGAATTATGTGACATGCCAAGAGCGGTTCAGAATTATATGACATGCCAAGAGCGGTTCAGAATTGTATGACATGCCAGAGTGGTTCAGAACACAGAAAGGGCAAACGAAACTGGACTCCACTAGTCCAATTAACAGTAGTTGCATCACGATCTTGTTAATTACTCGGCCAAAAAACCATCCTGTTACTCAGCAGTCAGGTACCACCAGCAACCCCTGAAACTGCCAATGAAGAATATATCAGAATTTTTCCATAAAAGAATAAGAAAACAAACAAACAGTTGGAAACAACAGAAACACATCTATCGTAAAATGTTAAAAGCAGATCAAAATCGAATGTAGTCATGTCAATTTTGTCTTCTAAAAATAGAGACATCTCTTAATTGTTATATCATGTCCATTCTTAGACAGAATGCAGCAACCCAGTGAGTAAATTCTGTTAGACCTGAGACATCAATGGGCAAACCATGTACAAGCACACAAACAAAATGCTAACTCAAAAGTCTCTGTGCTCATCTCACAAATTCAGCTGAGCATATCCTACATGATAGAACCATCCAAGTAGAAACAGAACTTGGATATATCTAATTATCTGCACAGATTAGTATGAACTTATCAATCGAACAGGCACTGAAGTGAAATCACTAAAAAAGCAGGAGCAATCGAGCAAGGGGTAAAACTGCATTTTTTTTTCCCATTGAGGTGCAGGTAGACAAATAGCAATTGCCCAGGCATCTAAATCCAAATCTTTTTACCAAGTTAAATTCCAACACCGTGCATATTTCTTATTGGCCTAATTGGACACCTGATAGGAGGCAATACTGACAAATATAGGAAGAACGATGTCATGGGCGAACAAGCAGAGGAAGAAGATTATTGCTTGTTCAACACAACATTTAGCAAAAAAAAAAAAGGGAACACAAGTGATTGATATAACATAAGCAATGAAGATAACCTAGGAATTTTTATTTGTTTGTTTCAGGTTGTTCACAAGTGTAGGATGATAGAAAGATGCAACAATAGCGTAGTTCCATGATGGTCCATTGGTCTTCAGTTTATCATCAAAATAAGAACTGAATTTTGTTCAAAGACATAAGTGAATGGAAATATTCACATGATCGTGGAAGGACTGTAATCGTCAACAAAATACAATAACTTGCAAAACTCAGTGCCTTGTTTGGACAGCAAATTAGCATCACATAAATATAGTTCTTTCTTAAACAGAAAGAGGATCTATCTTAATAAATTAAATGCACATGATTCAGTGTCAAGAACAATCATTTGTTAAATGCTAATGATTGCGATCCAAACAAGTAAACTTACATGGAAAATGTGAGTTAAGGATCAACAATCAGGATTAGCAAGCAACATATAATGATCTAATTTTACTGCCTTAGACCACTTGGATTGAAACAAAATTGCATTATTGTGGTGGAATCCGTCCTGATACTTAAGACTGGAACCTTAACTCCTTTTTCATTGTTGCACTTGCACAATTTGAAAATTTTGAATATTCCATACACGAGTAGAAGTGAATAAATTATGATATATTGGTCAGACCCATGCTTCTATATAATGACTAGTTCAACAACACTTTATATGGATCTTCTACTTAATTGCCCACCGAATTTTAATGAATTTAATCTGCCTTTTGAGAATAATATTGCAAGGTCAAACATTAGCAAACTTATTAATATTGTGAACAAATCAAGTACATTTTCTAAGACCACATGTTTTCAAGTAATTGAGTTACAACAAAGAGCTCCGGCATCAATTCAAAATAAGTGACATAAAGCAAAATAAGTCCAAAATGGTGCTTCACAAGAGGAAACCTTTTTTTTTTTGGTTTTTTTTTTGGGGGGGGGGGGGAGGGGGGGTCAAATTCAATTTCACATTGATTAACTAAACTATGGTAGACATAGAACCACCGGACAAACAACAAAGACTAATTGAATGTGTGAACAACAATTTTGAATTCTTAATTATAATTACCACTGTGAACATTCAAGCATAGATACACTTTGATCACAAGGAAAGCATACATTATGGTAAAAAATGAAAGAGTGGGTACCTTCAACAGTTCACTGCGACGAAGTGTCATCATCCTTCACCTTGGGAATCATCGCTGTGAGCAGCATGCTTGGGACACCAACAAACGAAATCAAAATAGCAGAAGTGAACCTCGCAAAGTCATCAAGCACATAGCCCACCCTCCATTCAAGAGATCCTTCCTCATGATGGGCTTTCATCTTAATGCCAAGACAAGAAAGTTGAATCAAAGGAGGGGCTAGGTAGATTGCATATGGCATGAAGCCTTTGGGCCCCCAGCGCCGTGCTCCTCGACTTTCTGGACGTTGTTCCTTAGATGATTCAACCCTGATGGCGGTCGAGCTTGTCTGCTATCAGGATTCGCAATCACAAGAACAAACAAATCGTTAAGTGGGGCACAGATTGGTATGAGAGACTAGATTTCTATTACGAACAGGAAAAAGGGGCTATTACTGCACATGAAGTCATGAACAATGAACTGCTATGTAGCCATATAAATACAAAATACAAATTGCACACAACTGAGAAAATATTGTCATATCAGGTTCAACGAGTGAAATAAAAAGCGAAAATTGACGACTAGATTATGGCGTCGTCCCAATTCCCAAACATGACCGAGCAAAAATTCCACCAATTGTACAATGGTATTCACAGATCTAGCTAGCCACTCAATACAACAAGTGAAGAAAATTTTAGGAGTGATAAGAATCAACTACCTTCTCGTTGTTCTCCCTCTTCTCCTTCTCCTTCTTCGCCTCCCTGGCTTCGAACCGGGCGCGGGCGAGGATGCGCACGAAGAGCTGGACGACGAAAGCCGGGAGGAAGCGCACTATGATGAACTTGGAGCTCGCGAGGACCTCCTCGCCAGCGGCCGACACGGCGGAGCCCTCGCCGCAGGCCCAGCGGCCGAGGATCTCGGGCACGATGCCGCCGAGGTTCGCCGCCATCATCGCCGCCAGGAAGCCGTAGAAGATGATGTCCTCCCCGAGGTGGTAGAGCCAGAGCACGGGCGCCACCACCGCCTTCCTCCAGAGCCGCCGCAGCATCGGCCAGCTCCTCGCCGCGGCCGCCGCCGCCGCCGCGGCGGAAGCTTGCAGCGTGGGAACCCTAGGCATCTCTCTCTCTCTCTCTCTCTCTCTCTCACGGTGGAAGAGGAGTGGGTTGGTGAGTGGAGTGGAGAGGAGAGGAGGCTTCTGGGAGAAGCTTGCGGCTGCAACCTGCAAGTGGTCGGGGACCCGTGATATTATCGGGTTGGGGTTGGGGGACCCGGTTATGCGGGGGAAGAGAAAATGCTAGCCGCACCAAGTAGATTGTACTCGCATGGCTTAGGGTGTGTTTGGCACCCCTTTTCCCAGCACATCTCCTTCGTTTCCCGCGTGCACGCTTTTCAAACTGCTAAACAGTGTGTGTTTTGCACAAAGTTTCTCTATGAAAGTTGTTAAAAAAATCAAATTAATCTATTTTTGAAAAAAAAAAGCTAAACCTTAATTAATCACGCGTTAATAGACCGTTCTGTTTTCCGTGCGTTAGGGCATCCTCAATGTTTATTGCAAAACTAGGTAGTAAGATGGGCCTTGCAAAACTAGATAGTAAGGTAGGCCCATACTAGGTGGTAATAAGAGATCGGAGAGACACCACAATGTATATATATGTGTAAAGTGGGTAATAAGGTGGGACCCATCTCAAAAAGTCTTCAAACATAAGTCATGACACAACTAAAAAAATAGATGGGGCCCACCATAAAGTGCTAATACCTGGTAGTAAGGTTATACCCTGGTAGTAGTTGTTTATCACTTCCACAATGTATGTTACCTGGTAATAGGAATGCATTCAATGCTTACTACCCACTATTTCACCACATTGTGGATGCCCTTACTGTTCCGGTTGGGATCTGGAGATAGCAAACCCAGCCACCATGTTTTTTTTTTTGGTTTTTTGAAAGAACCTTAGATTTTGAGTGTAATCTTGTCGTCTTGGTCTCTCCTATGCTTCTTTTGAAATAATTATACGGTGAAATATGACTTTTGTTTTGCGTTTTCTCTCTCGATTTTGAGAGCCCTTCGATTCAAAGGAAATTTATAGAAATTTTAGAGGATTTTATTCCTATAGGATTTTTTCCTATATAGCCCTTTAAATCAAAGGAATGGATCCTATAGAACCCTATGAAATTCCTATGGATTGTCTTTTCCCATGCAAGTTTTGGAGGAAATTTAACATGAGATAGAACCTCATGGAAAGAATCCTTTGAGTCTTTATCTCTCCTCAAATTCTTGTGTTTTTCCTGCGGCCCAATCAAACAGTCATTACTATATTTTTTCTGTGTTTTACAATTCTCTGTTTTACACTTGCATTTCTGTCAGAATCCTATGTTTTTCTTATTCCTCTGTTTTTTTATTCCTATGATTAAAAGGGGCCCTCACTGTTCTCACTGTTTGTTGTGATGCGGATGACTTATTTTGCATAAGGTGTTTTAAAAAACCATGAAAGAATAGTTTTCAACAACACTTGAAAGAATGATACGGTGGTAAATGACTACCGCTTGCATCATCAGGAACTTCTAAAATTCATGAAACTTAAGTTGTAATGTGATGTTGATCTACGGAAGATGTATATGTGTAGTCATCAATTTTGCTGATGTGATCATACGTAGTCGTAAAAGTCCAATTCTAGTGTACATATCAGGCCCATCGGTTGGCCAAGAATTGTTTATAAACCATAACGGTTTATTGATGAGTAAATAATAATTTGTGGATAAAATTTTTATATACACGTTGTTATCGACTTAAAAACCAATACAGAAAAAATGCATTGGAAAAACATAAAAAACTTCAAAATTTAAATTAAGTTTGATAGCAGGTTGTAGAGAAAATGATGAGGCCCTATAAGTTTGATTGGTAATCGTGATAATATAAGATGTACATCTATACGTTCATACAGATGAGTGTGCGCGTATTATGAGGGTCTGCGTTTGTAATGCGTTTAAGAAAGTGCGCATGTTATGAGCGTATGTGTTTGTAAAAAAAATATTGCTGCTATAGGCAACAACCGTCAATAAACGAGCCCATAAAAACAAGGTTAACTGTTAACAAATGAGACCCAAACGTGCGGACTGCGGATGCGGAGCGAATGAGATCAGGAGGCTAGCGAAGCGCCCGAAAGCAGCTGTCGCGCTCCCGCCAATATTTTCAGCGCGCCAAAGCAGCTGTGCGCGCCAAAGGAACATAAATTCGCTTTTGGCGGGAACGACACAGCTGGGAAGCATTGCGTAGTTGTCCATTGAAACATCAAATTTGCACATCTACCCCTCCCAGTAGTGGAACACTTCGTTACAGGGAAAACTTGCAGAGTCACAGACTTAACACAGTTCAGCTTGAAGGAACAGACGAATTAACAGAGAGGCTGAGCCTAACAAAGCTCGTAGCACTACATGGCATGGAAATAGATGAACAGATAGTCTCAAACCACCAAAAGGCAGTGCATATATACCAGAAGTCTCGTATCGATCGATCTAGGGTTAGGCAGGCAGTAAGGTAGATTATATAGCAAAACACCTCCTGTTTTCAGTTACCGTGTAAACATTGTCAGGTTACTCAGCTGTCATCTGTCATCCGTCTTTGGAGGACCAATTAAAGAAACCATCACTCATCACCACCCATTCACTCTTGTAACAGAGGTTCTTTGAGGTTTGCTGCAACAGACCAGCTGCGCCTTCGCAATTCTCAGTTCTCACCCGGCACAGCCAGATCAAATCTCCAGTCAGGCAGCCACAGAAAACAGCCACGTGTCCGAAAAACTGAAATGCCCATGAAGGAGAACGTCAAATTGTCAATAGCTTTTCTAGACAGGACAGGAGTAAAACTGTCGAATGATGTCAATGCATTGCATCAAGTACAGTATCATAAATTGCCTTATGCTTATGATAAATTCTGAACCATTTTAATTAGTTCACTGAATGGCTATATGAATGTAACATCAGAAACCAGTCAGCTCATGGCTGATGTTCCATAATGAAGAGAAATGTACTCAATTAATTCTGACCGTAACCAAAAAAAAAAGTCCCCAGAGTCTACTTTGTAATCTACACAGTACAAAAATTTGCACGAATTACTGACAGACACATTTGAGAAAGAAGCAAATGGAATCTAACTTAAGAAACAATATAACCAAACACAACATGTTCTATTTATAGCACGTGCATTTCCACCATGTAACAAACAGCTAAAATTGGCAATACAATTTCTTCTCTGCAACTAAGACAACAATATACAATTGTGAGCACATTAAGAAAAACGTGAAAAATGAAGTCTTATCTCTGAATACTCAATAAAATATTGGAATAATGGGCAACATATTACTTCAAACAAATTAATTGTAGGGTAATAACCAGAAACTTCCAAAAAAAAATTAGCTACACTTATGGTAATTTGGTAACACTAAGTTGATTCCCACCTACATATCTACATGAAAAATCTTACCAACGGTTTCCCCTTTTGCTGAATAGAGAAGTGCCACATTGGTACACAATGGATGGATGTACTGGTATACAGCAATACAGGCATGAATTGGGATAAATTGTCTCAACAAATTCTTATTCCATAGTTCAAAGCTATCGTATATGTGCCACAAGCAGTTTAGTGAATTTTAGCTGCCTTATGTCAATAATATCGGTGGGTTGTACAATAAAGAAACTCCATTCATGACAGGGGAAGGGTAGCAATGTACAATAAAAGGGTATCTCACAAACAAAAGGAAATCATAACGTTGCAAAAACAAAGCAAATTAATCTATCAGATGTTGTACTACTAGTTATCTTTAGATTAGCTTGGATGTATGAAGTGCATTAAACCTTTACAGATTAGCTGCACCTATGAAGCTATGAGAGCAGTAGAAGAGCTAAATATCTACTACATGATAACAGAAGGCCCCATTTGAGATTTTGAGCCAGGCAGATTTCAAAATGATTCACTAGCACAAGACTAAATGGAGTATGGAAAACACTGAACCGAGCGATAACAAACGATAAATAATGATGAAAAAATATCATCACAAACAAAACAAAATCAGAGATGAGTCAAGTGATAACAGCTTGCAATGTGAAGAGGGAATACCTGAAGAGGGCAATATTACACAGTCACAGCACCCCCATCCTCCTCATTTCAAATACCAGCTTTGGAAGGATGATCATGCTTGATAGAGCAGAACATACACAGAATCCAATTTCAACAAGTATAGATCCACCAGCCCACAGTTCAGATCTTTTTACTGGTGCAAGATGTTTTATCAGCAGGCCAGTAAGGATGACCAGAAAGAAGACTATGCAGATTACTTTGGCAACAGAATTGGCTTGTTTAGCTAGTTGACGCCATGCTCCATTGTTTTCAGGATTGATTCCATCAGTTGGTGGGTTCTCTCTAGCAACATTGGAGTTCTCCAGCTGTTATGCCATTACATGCAAATCGTTCAAAAGGTAGATGAGCATGACTTGATAAATAGGTTACGGATGGCTAATTCATATTTCACTAAAATAAAAAGGTGAAATAGCTGACTTAAGTCCCTTGCACTCTTGCGGACTACAACTATGTGAAAAGATGCACATGGCACAGAAACTTCAGTAATAATGAAGAATTTTAGAAAAGAGGCTGTTCCACAGTTAATAGGTATATAATGACATATTATACCTGATATACATATCAGAAAGGTCTACAAGTAAACTCAAGTTACTTAACGCTTCTACTACGATAATCATTTGTGCTTCTTATGTTAATTTTGTAGTCCAACCATAGATGGGTCTAGGACATCTGTGTTATTCAGGCACACATCTGTTTGCTTGTTGCAAAAATGTTGTTTTCAATACTTCATGCCCGCTCACTCTGCAAAATTATTTTTGAAGTATGCCAACACTATTATATGAACTCACATAAAAACATGGCATGAATTTTGCCTGACAGAGTGTGAATAAATCATCATTGCAAGTACAAGGGATGATCAAACAGCTGGAATTTCTGTGCAATTAGAGCAAAATTAATACTCTGGAATTTCTGCTAGCTTTTCCAACCAGACCCTAGATTGTGGTGGCACAGCAAACCCCACCCGTATATTACATCAAGGTCTCATTTCAAGCATCATCAGGCAACTCTACTCAGAATTTCTAAAACATCACATAGCTCTGTAATCACTTCCTCAAGAATTAGAGGTTTTGTCCCGAAATTCCTAGATCTAAAACAGCACACAGCAAAATAACTGAGAGTAGATTAGAAATGGGACTCTCGCGGCAATACCTCGTCGCGGACCTCGACGACCTGGGCGCGTCCACGGTCCATCCCGCGCAGCACAAACAGCGGGACGAAGGCCGGGGCAAGCACCCCCATGGCGCGCACGGAGACCCACGACACAGCCCCGCCGACCACCGCCACGGCGTGGCCATGGACGCCCACCCAGCGGCTGACGGCCATGGGGACGCACCCGGCGACGAGGGCCACCCAGACCGCGCCGATGAAGCCGTAGAGCACGGCATCCACGCCCCGCGAGTAGCGGCCACGCAGCGCTGCCACCAGCCTCTGGACCCGCGACGGCGGCGGACGCGGACGCGGATGCGGAGGTCTCGCTGCGGGCGCCTCGACCTCCATGGGGACCACGCGCACACGCTCCATGCGCCTCGCCGCCGCAGCAAGTTCCTGGAGCGTCAGCAGCGCCGCCGCCGCGGCGTCGGCCTCCTCCGCGGCAACCCTAGACCCCATTGGCCTCCTCCTGTCTCTGTCTGTCTCCCCGCTCTCGCCGCGCGCGCGCGGCGCGACGCGATGCGGTGACCGCGGAGAGCGGAGCGGATTTGGTGGCGCGGCGGGCGGGCAGCGGATACGCGGTTGACTGCGCCCGGACCCGGTTCCGAGGATATTTTGCTAGCCCCACAAGAGAGATGGCCAAGGGAGAATTTCTTTTGAACTTTTTTTATTTTTAATTTTTTTAAATAGATCCTTTCAAAACTTAATTTCAGAACGTAAACCCGTTTGGGTGGTAAAACAATACTGACACGCCACACACAGTGGATGTGACAATTTTATCATGATATACCAGCGAGGGTGGCGTGGCCAAATAACAGGCCGGCGTGACCAAATAACGCTACCACGCTCAGACAGATCGCCGTGGCAGTGTTGTTTTATGGCCAGCATTGATGCTTTTGGGGGGAAGATTTTTGCATTGCACTCACACCAAAGTTCCCAAGATACTAGGATCACCAAGGTTCGGAGTGGGCGTCGGCGGTTATTAGGGGATCCCAACACAAGGTTCCGCCAATGCTCTACTGGAACAGTCATCCCACTTATCCAATTGTAGGCCAATGCTGGTCCACCTTTGAATTTCTGCCTAGATTCTCTTTGTGACCATGCATTTTGCCATGAGGTGAATTGTGGATTCATCGATCGTGCAACACAATGGGCTAACTTTTTTATTCTACCAACCTCTTTGCTCCAGCCTATCCGATGTCCATATTCTATTTTGGACGACGAGCCATGAGAAGAATTTGCATTTTGGAGGCGCCCACGCTTCCCAGATGGATTGGTTAATAGTTGTTCCCGCTGCACCCCAGGACCCAGGAATTGTAGCTTGTATGCCGATTTCACCTAGTACTCCCCATTTGCTGTGAGATTCTAGCGAATACTGTCTCGCTCCTTGTTTAGGGGGTTCATTCTTCTGATCATGGACCAAAGTCGGGCGAGTTGTTGTAGGTGCTCCGTGTCTCGCTCCTCATTTAGGGGGTTCATTCTTCTGATCATGGACCAAAGTCAGACGAGTTGTTGTAGGTGCTCCGCCTCAGTGATACGTAGGATGTCGATATCTAGGGTGCAATCCTTTGAGGAGTTTGATTTCCCCGCCACTTCGAGCTCCAAAAACGTGCAGTTTTGCCACTTCTGACTGTTATGGTTGTTGGCTTGTTGCTGCTGCAAAGAGTTCTCTGTCAAGATTGCTGCATGGGACGGCTGTGCTTGTCCAACGTTTCTCGGGTGCTACCCACTCATACTAGAGCCATTTGAGCCGTAGCGCAGTGGCAAAGCGTTGTAGGTCCATGACACCCAATCCTCCCAGATCTTTTGGCCTGCAAACTCTCTCCTAGTGCATTTTCCTCCTGAGATGGAGTCGCCTCCTGCCCACAGAAATTTTCTTCGTGTTGCTGTGGTTAATTTGGATGCTCTGATGAGTTCAATATAACCGATCAATTGCTTATACCACGGTCCCAAAATGAAGCCCAAGGCTGAATCTCTGAACCAGTCACTTGATAGGGTCAGTCAGCCAGTAAAAGAACTAATTAATAGCGCAACAGATTTGGGATCATTATAGTTCGACCAGAGATTACCTTACATCCAACAGCACTGCAAGCAACAATTATAAACTGATAATGAACGATTCATGCATAGCAAAATAGAACATCCCAAGAAAATGCTGAAAGTTGCTATACAAATTCACATCTAACACCACATAACAGTCAGAACCATACACATCACATATCACCAGATTATGTGAGATAACATAAAACACCATGATAGACCAATGTTTCCAAACATGCTGACAGTTGCTATCATGATCCCAACTCTAGAAATTCACAGATTCTGGTCCAATGTTTCCATGATTGTCGATTGACCAAGTCTACATTCAACTAGTACTGATTAAGTCTGCCATTACTAAGCTACATATGCTTATATCCAATAGTCTAGAACATTAGAGATATTAAAAGGACAACTAATTAATTTGCTTCTAACAGCACAGAATTCTTCATATACATAGTGGCAGAGGCTTGAACAAAAAGGTCCAGATGCCTTCAACAAAAGGTTTGCATTCACTAAAGTACTACCCTACTAAGTCAAGTTCAGGATCCCCAGTTCAAAAAGGGAAAGTACCTGCAAATCCAAAATGCCAGCATTGTGAGTGGTGCACCATTATTTAAACATGAATTGTATCTTAAAAAAAAAAGAACCTGCTAGAGTTCTGGCAACAGTGCAACGCAGTGGGTAGTAAGAAGGTAAATTTCAATCATTCACCTGACCTCATATTTCAACTATCTTGATTCTCACAGAAGGGAGAGTACAAGAATATCACAAGAGAAAAGCATGCCCAACATAATCAACATCGCACGGCATTTAGCAAAGGAATAGGAACAATGAGAAACCATGGTACTTGCATCAAGTACCTAGCTACAGATATTACCCAGCAAAAAAAAAAATCAGCATCGACATCATGTTGTTGAATTTGTGCTAAGTTAGTGACGTTAAATAGTTGTCCATGAAGACAGTATCACTAATAGTGGTACATGAGAAGATTCAGGACTGAAACCTTGGATCAATCGAAATAAAATAGACTGGAACTAGCAAAAAAAAAAAGGCACAAGGTGTTCCTGGTCAAAATACTTAGAAATGAAACCAAGTTTTTTTAGCATGAGCATGTTCGATTAAAAAAAAAATAGCATGAGAATGGCCAAGTTCACTACAGCTGCTCAACTTCATGCATGGTAACCAGCTATGGAAGAAAAACATTTTCTTAACTGAGTATTACTCACAATTTAGCACAATTAATAGCTAAGCTATACATGATGATCTTATCTCACAGGAACCAATTAAGCGTCCAACTGGATGAGCTAATTGAGTTCCAGGATATATAACCATACATGGCAGCCAGGGAGAAAGAGTGTTAAACATCTAACTCAAAACAGGGGTAGCAAACAACCAATAAATTACCGATCATATGCTAGTGAACAAACATATATATATATATATATATATATATATATATATATATATATATATATATATATATATATATATATATATGTATGTATGTATACACACATACATATACATATACATATACATATAATATATAATATATATATATATATACATATATATATACATATATATATTATATATTATATGTATATGTATATGTATATACATATATATATATACATATACATATATATATATATGTATATGTATATGACTTAATTAGTACTGAATCCAAATAAGTGCCATTCCAGGCAAAAGACAATAATCAAATGCACTTCTGATAACAATGAATTAAGGCAACGCACACATTAAGGGTAACTATTATAAACCCTCGAGGGGACGTCCTCTCGTTTGTCTAAAAACCATCTAAATAATTATGAAAAATTTTGAAAAAAATTTGACAACGTTCATATAACATATATATACCACTTCACAAAAATTTTGATCCAAACTCAACTCACATATTAAGATATAAAAAATACAAATTCGGGTATGAATAGTAGTGGTACTATTTATACCCAAATTTGTCCTTTTCTTTTCTCAACTTGTAGGACGAATTTGGATTTAATTTTTGGTGGAGTATTATATGTCACTATACTCTACATTGTTTTTTTTAATTCTTCTATAACTATTTGCATTGAATTTAGAAGAAAAAGGTATCGAGGGATTAGAATCCACTCCCCACATTAACACACATTAGCATCCAACATGGCAACAAGTAGTCATCACATATACTGTATCAATTAATCTAGTTACCTCCGATGGAAACATGCATCACGCCGACAGGAAGAAGCTTTGCAAACCTCCTCCTCCTTGATAAACCTCCTCAGTCTGAGCGCCGCGTAAGGAGCGACAAGAAAGAAATGCCCGAGAGCCAGCCACAGGTAGCCCATGTTCTCGAAGTCCGAACCAAGGTTCATGAGACGAGTAATCCCCTCATCACCACCACCACCTGGGACACGGCCGAAAACGCCAATCGTTCGAAGAAGCTTACCCATCAGAATGAATGCGACGCAGTACGGGTACATAGCGCTGATGAAGAACACGACTGCTGCATCGCAACCACGGCGGCCGAGGTGGTCTGGTCCGGCGGGCAGGGCGACGTCGGGGCGGCATAAACCCGCAGCCTACCAACAACACACGAGAGGAACAAAAAAAAAAAGCCAATCAGATTCTCTCGCGCACAGATCTACTACTTAGCTACAACACACACAAATGACAAATGGCGGCTCTGGCTGCTTGCTACTACCACGCGGATGATCTGGGCTTCTTCCTCCGCGTCGGCCTTGACCTCCGCGCACACGGCCATGCCCAGCATGGCCAGGAAGGCGACGGCTATCGTGCAGTTGCTCTTGGCGCAGGCACAGTACGCGGGGGAATCCGCGAGGAGGAGGCAGTGGCGATGGCAGCATCGGCAGCTACTCAGAATGACCTGACAGTGGATGCCGGATAAGATAGACACGTATACCGAACTGTTAAAAAAACTTTCGTAAGTTTTTTTCTCCCAAAACATTCAGATGATCACCTCAATATTTAAGCATGAATGGAAAAATTGCTAGAAAGAAATTTATCACACGTAATATCCCAGTATTAACCAACCAAAATAATTAAGTTGAATATAAGTTTTATATAAGTTATATCGTAATTACAATACAATACGATTACAGTCTAGTTACACTTCAAAATTACATCTAAATCACTTAAAATTGTGGCAATTTTTTAGATACTCTAATATCAAGTACGGAGTAGTTTTCATTTGTTTCGGCATTGCAACGATAATCCAATTCGGCATACCAGAAGCCTGACAAACTGGAATGCGGCAGCATTTAGATCAGCGATCCGATACTGCCGCTGATCCAATACTGCCGCCTAGCACATCACGCAGTAGTTAATTTGCAACATCTCTAATAATAATACGCCAATTATGAAGGCCATAACCATATATATCCGACAAGAGCAAGCATTATAACGAGGGATTTATGCACAGCAAAACAGAGCATCCCAAGAAAATGCTGACAGCCGCAGCACGAATCTTACGGAGCTTGAGCTATATGCCTACATAGTAGTACTAGATTCAAGAACATTGCTACATTCATGCATTCAGTATCAGGACTAGTAGAGGTACGTTAGGACATACTTGCCCGAAGAATTCACAAACAAGTCTATCAAAACGTGAGCATCATATAAAGCTAGTCATATCCTACGAGGCTACGACGACCCTAGCACAATCGAGTAAATTAACTTCTGAGCTGCAACCTTGAATACTTGAATTTTTGCGATAGTCCAAAATATGTATCTGTATGTTGTAGTGTCAAATCTCCCTCTCACTCAAATTCACTGGTTCAAAACTGGGCTTGATCCTGCGTATCCAAAAAGCCAGCATTATGAGAGGTCATCGTTATTTAAACAGAACGGTATCTGAAAAAACACCCTGCTAGAGTGGTAGCTGTGCAACAAACTGGGTAGAAAAAAAGGTGAATTTCAACCATTTGAGTATTTGACTGCTCAACAGTCATATTTCAATTGTCCTGATTCCCCTGTAAGGGAACAGACGAATATCACAAGAACAAAGCATGCTCAAGCTCAACATAATCTACAAAACACGGCATTTAGCAATGGGATACACGCGATAAGAAATGTAGTCCTTGCACAACATATACTCCTACCTAGATACAAATATTAGCCAAAAAGCAATCAGCATCGGCAACACCATGTTGTTGAATGTGAGCTAAGCTACTGTCACTAGTAGCTACTTGAAATTGACTCCCTACATTGATGTGGCTACGTATACAATGAAATATGACTAGATTTTAATATATAAGAAGAAAACAAGCATGTAAATCATCAAATAAAAAAAAGGTCCTTGCTTTATGGGTTAGCTCTTCCAATAGTTGGATAGAATATATTAGCTTGGCAAATTAGAAGATTCATGACTCAAACCTTGGATTAATTGAAATAAAACAGATTGGGACGAGCGAAAAGGCACAAGGACAAAATACTTGAAAATGAAACAAAGCTTTTCGGCATGAGAATGACCAAGTTTACTAAGCTATATATGGAGGAAAGTATTATCTCGACAAAGAGCCAGGTAATTGAAACAATTAATTGGTACTCACAATCCAGCACAATAAGATAACCAGATGTGTCATCCAATTGTGCTAATGGAGTTCCACGGTAACCATGATAGCTGGTGACTAAGAGAGTTATACTACATTTAGCTCAAGAAAGGGCTAGCAAACAATCAAACGGTGGAAGACTTGGAATTGACCATACCAGTTGTGAGAAATTAGCATCAATCACTATAGTTACCATTCAATTCTATGCTAGGGAACACAACATCCACATATAACGTATAGAACCCAAATAAATGCCCTTTTGATATTAAATGAAATGAAGTACTTCATCCATCTACTTTTGATAGTTATATTTCCAAATCTGAAAAATTTATTTTTGATAGGCATATTTCAATCCAACAACCTATCATCTTAATGATTTCCTCGGATTTAATGCGTGACTCTCCATTCTTCCACACAAGAATGGCTACATGGGCATCGAGAAATGTAAATATTAATGAATCGTTTGTTTACGAGGAATGACTAGTAACATGTTTAAATGGATGATAAATAGAATTACTTATCCATTGGTCTGTGTGTCAAGATGAAATAAATATCAAAAGTAGATGGAGGGAGTATTAAAGATGGCCATGCACACTAGACAAAGTTAACAAATGCATGAGCACCCCAACATGGCAACACACGTACAAACAGCATAACAACATTAGTTACCTCTGTTGGCAACGTGCATCACGAAGATCGACACGAACTGGTTGAGGAACCTCCTCAGCCTGAGCACAGCGTAAGGAATGATGAGAAAGAAATGCCCCACAGCCAGCCACAAGTAGCCAACGTTCTTGAATCCTGAACCAACCCCCATGAGAAGAGCAATCTCGAGCTCATCACCTGGGTAGTACACAAGGAAGAGAGCGCCAAACATTCGGAGCAGCATACCCACAAGAATGAAGGTGACACAGCATAGATAAATGGAGATGATGGTGAGCATGACTACTTCATCTGAACCACACAGGAGGAGGCGCCGCTCTAGTCCAGAGGCCAGCGCAACCGCCGGCTGCGGTGGCGGCGGCAGTGGCGGCTGCAGCTCGGGATCAGGGAGGACGTCGTGGGTTACACCAGCAGCCTACCATCACGAGAGCAAAATCGATCAAATTTCGTGGATCAGACAACGCACAGAAGCAAATGCTGTGGATAAATCGAAGCAACTAATCAAATTTCGCCGGGTGAATGCAAGTTCACTAGCTATGGAGGAGTACTTAATACCTCGCGGATCTGGGCGCCGGCCTCCGCCTCGGCCTTGACCTGTCGGTGCACGGCCGCGGCCATGAGGATCAGCGAGGCGACGGCCAGGGGAGCCGCGAACACCACCGTGTCGCGGCACATGGGGTCGGCCAACCAGTGGACCTTCACCGCGAGGCAGTGGTCCACGGCGCTGGCGATCCTGAACGCGCTGGCCAGCCACACCGCGCCGAGCGCGAACGCGAAGCCCACCACCACCAAGGCGAGCCGCCCAAGCTGGGTCCGCGTCGCCGCAGCGGAGTCCTCAGCCGCTGCCGCCGCCGCCGCCTTGGCTGCTGCATCCGCCACGGCTGCCGCCTCGGCCGCCGCCTTGGCTACAGCATTGGCCACCGCTGCTGCCTCGGCGGCCGCCTTCGCTTCCGCCGCTGCCTCGGCGGCAGCCTTCGCCTCGGCCGCCCACTTGGCTGCCGCCTCGGCCAGGTCCTTCGCCACCGCCATCGACGCCTCGAGCGCCGCCTTCGGCACCGCCACCGCCTCAGCCGCCTCGGCCACCGCCTTAGCCACCGCCACCGCCTCGGCCGCCTCCTTCGCCGCCGCCTCGACCAGGTCCTTCGCCATCGCCACCACCTCGGCCGCTTCCTTCGCCAACGCCTTCGCTACCGCCACCCCCTTCGCGGCCGCCGCCTCGAACGCGGTCTTCGCCACCGCCACCGCCGTGGCCGCCTCCTTCGCCGCCGCCTCGACCGCGACCTTCGCCACCGCCACCGCCTCAGCCGCCTCGGCCGCCGCCTTAGCCACCGCCGCTGCCTCGGCCTCCTCCATCGCCGCCGCCTCGAGCACCGCCTTCAGCACCGCCACCGCCTCGGCCACCTCCTTCGCCGCCGCCTCCGTCGCCGCCGCCTCGAGCGCCGCCTTCGCCATCACCTCGTTCGCCACCGCCAGCGCCTCGGCCACCTTCTTCATCGCCGCCTCGAACGCGGCCTTCGCTACCTCCATCGCCTCGGCCACCGCCTTACCCACCGCCACCGCCTCGGCCGCCGCATCGGTCGCGGCATTCACCGCCGCTATCGCCTCGACCGCCTGCCGCGCCGCCTCCTTCGCCACGGCCTCAGCCACCTCCTTCGCCTCCGCCGCCGCCATGCCGGCCATGCGGAACCCTAGGCCCTAGGGTCTAGAAGCTTCGGAGTGCGGTGGAGAGGAGAGTGGGTGTGGGTGGGTGGGAGAGAGCGTGACAAGAAAGAAGGCGAGGAGGGAGTGCGAGGCTTTTGAGCCGGATGGAGGTGGAGCCGTGTAGTGCGGTGCGTGACGGTGTCGGGTTCCACGGGATCGGAGGCGTGTGTGTCCGAACCCGGTCGAGGTGGGAGTTCCACTGCTGATCTTCTACGTGGACGACGGGACGGTGCACCCGATAGTTGTACTTGTTCACAATAGGAAATACTCCTACTGGATTAGTACTAAAGAAGTTAAAAAAAATATTGACTGTTCAAAAAATATTTAAGAATTTGGTGAGTTTATCTATTCTCAGTTAAAAATGTTTAAAATAATTTGACTTCTTGAGTCCGAACCAATGGCAGCCTATATCGTCTATGAAAAGTGAGTGTGGTTAGATTTCTTGTGGTGAAAACCGCCACCCGAATTTAAGTCATATATTTTATATAGGTGTTCGTATTTATGGTTATTTTATTCTTCTAGTGCTAGACGATATACCCGTCAGCAGTGAGACGTTCGTGATGACTTCGTCAATCTCAAGGTATGTCGATTTAGTATTTCGAAGATGCTCATATAGGTAAGGTATATGTGCATCCGTTCATAGGAGCGAGTGTACAAGTGTTGTGAAAGTTTACGTTTGTACTGTGTTTCTCAACAGATTTCGTCAATGAAATCAGTTGAGAGAATATAGCATGATGTTTATATGAATGAGTTGGCCAAGCCTCTTCAAAATTTAGACACCGGGCAAATCACCTATAGCTATACTGTGAAAATACTATTGTTAATCCAGGCAATACCATATAAATTTTAATACTTTCTCCATCTCAAAACAAATTTATTTTTCACCCATCCCACACATATCAATACATAAAAAAAAGACCCTTCACTTTATCAAATCTCAATACACTCACTCCCTATTTTATTTACTTCCAATGCACTTGTCCCCCTACTTTATCTACTTCTAATACATTTGTCCCTTACTTTTATAAACTCTAATGCAACTTTTTTAAATAAACGGCACCAGATGGTGCGAGTTTCATGTTGATATTACAGAAAAAAAAAATACAAAATTACAACTCTTGAAGACTAAAATCAGAAAAAAAAAGAAAAAAAAGACAATCACCAAATGCTTTGGTGATAGATGATAAACCGATGTTTATGGGATTAACCTCTCTTTTACATAAGTTTTCAACAAGGTTATTTCCCGATAATGAGATGTGGTAGATATGCATTCTTTGGTGATGGACCTTAATCATGACAAGGATAAAATTCATGGAGATAAAGCGATATGTATCACTTCTTATCTCCTACTTTTTGATATGTTCATATATATGATTTCCATGTTATTGTTATATAAGTGTGAGACTAATGTTTACTTGAGTCTTATCTTATTTAGTCTCCTTTACATTGAGAACATGGAGATCATGAAGGTATGTGTTTGTTTGTTTATCTTCATCATTACTACATATGCCTTCTCTATGTGTATAGAATAAACCCCCATTGGTTCTTCTTTACTTATGCATACACTTGTCTCTCTTGTATATTTCTTTGTATGCATATACTTAGTGGGAGCAAATCCTATACATTTATTGTGCATGTTTTAGATTCATGTTGTTCACCTATTATATATATCGGATCTTTGCACTTGAGCTTGCATACGAGTATATGACACTTATGATGTTAATGAATACTCAACAAACATATCCATATCTTTCATATGCAACCGGTTGGTCACCAAGTGGAGGATGCCAACCGATTTGTTGGGACTAATGTTTTCCTTTGAGCCGTGCAAAGGAATAGATCTAATTGCGATGAGGCTAATGAATGACACCATGGGTTAATGGTCACCAAGCCAAGGACATCGTCATGTTGGCAAGAATGAAGTCAAGCTTGTGATGAGAATAAAGTCTTAACATAGGATGGCAAAGACCTCGGCATAAACATGGTTCAACCGAATGGTCACAAGTTTTGATGTTAGCTCAAGCATTGACCCCAAGTTGGATGGCGCAAGGCAAAGGTATAGTGGAGCTAAGAATGTTTTCTTAGTCTTTTTCCCGGTCTTGGTGTTTAGTGTAGACCGGATTTACTAGATAGGTGCCGTACTATCAAGAGGGGTCTATGAAGCGAGCATGCGGATGATCTTGTGCCATATTAGTTCATATGCATATAGGTGCATTTTGTGGGCTTGTCTAGCCAAGTGTGGTGAGTTTTATCAAGTCCCAAACAAAGAGAGAAGTGGGCACATCCTATAGGTTTGGGTAGCTTCATGTGGTTATGTCCGGTGGAGTATCCTTTGGAGTGTGAGCCATTTCTCCCTGAGAAAAGTTGTGTTTCTTGGATGGATTGTTCATGGGTTGGATAGCCCTTTGAATAAGCTTTCCATAGAGTCCAAGAACGCCAAATTCCAAGATCCGAGACAAGAGATATTGTCGTTTTACTAACGGTTGGTTGTGTTGAAAAGTGACCTGCGGTCTGACCGTGGGCCTTAGGTCGGTCTAACTAGGGCTGTTAGCCGGTCTGACCGGCGTGGTAAGGCCGGTCTGACCGGCCCTACTGGTCTGTTGCACTGGTCTGGTTTTTGGTGGCGATACAGAGCCGCCAGAGCCGCAACTGGTCAGACCGAGCCGATGGCGGTCTGACCGAGCCGTGGACGGTCTGACCGACCACTACACTGCGGTCAGACCGGCCAGGTTGAGTGGGCTCAATGATTGCCCTGTAACGGTCTAGCCGTTACAAAGTAGTTCGGTCTGACCGGCCACTCTATGGCGGTCTGACCGGCAGAGCACAAAGTTGGGGATTTCGACTCCAACGGCAAGTTTTGGTGGTTGGGGTATATATACCCACTCCCCAGCAGCAAGGGTAAGGTTTTGGCACTCCATTGAATTATCTTGAACCCTTGCAAGAGCTCTCACACCCTTGTGCACTTAGTTTATCTAGTGAGGTGTTAGAGAGTGAGTTAAGCCAATCCAAGTGCATTGCTTCATTGTTATAGCTAGTGTGGTACTTGATCATCCTCGGCAAGCATCCTAGACTTGTTACTGTTGGAGGTTGCCGCCTCCTAGACGGCTTGTGGAGGTGTTGCCCGGTGACCTCTCCGAGGAGATTGTGGAGGAGGCCTGGCGCTGGTTGTGAGTGGTTTGGAGTTCACCACCTTCGGAGTGAAGGAAGAACTACCCTAGTGATTGAGGCTTGGGTAGTCCTCTTCGTGGGTCGGCTCCCACCTTGCCCACCCCTTGACAAATGGGGCGTGCGGTGGCTTCGTGGTTGAGCGGTGGAGTTGGGCTCGCCTCAACGGGGATTAGGAAACCGGCGAGTTTCCGAACCTCGGTGAAAAATCCCTCGTCTCTTGTCCCATTTATTTGTTGCATTTACATTTGAGCAAGTTTACATAGTAGAGCTTATTTGTGCTATTATCACCCTAGGCTTGCAAACCTTAACATAGGCTAGCTTCTTTGTGCACTTACTTGAGACTAGTTGATTTATGTTTTGAATTGTGCAAAACCGTTTTGATTTACGCTTCCGCATACAAAACCCGGTTTTAGCCAAAAGTTTTGAAACCGCCTATTCACCCCCCCTCTAGTCGGCCTCCTTGATCCTACATGGGCCCCCATGGAGAAGGGTTTGCCAAGGAAGAGGGCGAGAGAGAAGAAGATCCACTCATCCCTTGTGCGAACCCGATGACGACTTCCAAGAGTTTGGGCAAAGACCACACCAATTGAAGACAATAAAGGGCATAAACAATATCTCCTTAAAAACGACGGTGAAAGCGCCGCTGTCGTCCGTCCAATTCATGTGGAGGTTCCCGCTAGGAAAAGAGAGGGGGACGTGTCAACAATGCCCCCAAGGAAGATCACGACACCCAAAGGCATTGCCATTGCCGACTCAGAGTTGGAGGAAACCTCTAGACTAAGGCTTTCGCCTTTGCCCCCCTCCACCCCCTAAAAACGCCGTAGCCCCCATCGCCTCCCACCAACCGATCTCTGCCAACACACGAACTCCATCCTACCGGTGCCCCTCCGCTAGGTAGCCCTCGCCTGCCTCAAGATGCCACGGGGGGCCTTTTGCTCTTGTTAGTGTCGTGTCGATGCCCTTTGGTCAGTATCTCCACAGCACGCCGACTAGCCTTCGCACGCCTCCTCACCGTAGCACCACCACCACCAAGCTGTTGCACCAACCACCCCTATAAGGGAGGGGCGTCGATGTTCAGCTACCGTTATTGTTGCTGGCCGTCATCAACAACTCCATTGCACGTCGATCGCCCTCCGTGCGCCTCCTCGTCGCGGCGCCAACAAGACCAAGCAGTCGTACCAACACCCCTCTGTCGGAGGGGCATAGATGTTTAGCTATCATCGCTTGCACACAACGGAGAAGGGGAGGAGGGGGGAGGGAGGGGGGCTAGGAGGCGCCGGATCCAGCCACCCACCCTCCCCTCCGATGGCACGAAATGCGTTGTTGACGCGCTAGACTTCGCCACCGCCACCACCACCACCGTTGATGGCTAGGAGGTGCCATGGACTCTACCATGGCTCATCTTCATCGCCTCCACCACGGCTCATCTCCGTCTCTACCACGAGCGCCAGGAAAATGCCGTTGGGAGGAGAAAAGATGCCCCGCCGCCACCGTCATTGTGACCACACGGAAACTAGCAGTCTACTTAGGCAGGGGGCAGGACTTGGGCAAAGCAAGGCGCGAAGCGTTAGCGGCCGCCTGAGCTGCCTCTCGAAGGCGACGCGGGGTCCCCTTGTCAACAAAAATGAAAAAAAATAAACTTATTTTAAGATGAAGGGAGAAGACTTTTATTAAGAACCTAGCAGCCTCTCAGTCTCAGGATCCGCCAATAGAACCGGTTGAGCTAATATATTCCTCTAATATTGTCACACACGAGAACACCACATAACATCAAGCACTCATGATAATATCCTCTTGCTCACTTTATTTGAAGATAAAAAGGTGGATAGTTTTTAGTCCAACCAACAGATCAGCACTAATCCTGGAAAACAGGGGAACTGGTATGGAGCAGTATATAAGATCACCACATGTCCCATACTGCTACTTGACACAGCACATTGTGTAATTTGGGACATTTGTTTTTTTTAGATAATGATTTGGGACATTTGTTAGGTCTAATTAGTTCAGTATAAGGCTGTAACCATACATCCAACACTGCAAGCAACCATTATCATGCATAGCAAATCAGAACATCCCAAGAAAACGCTGACAGCTGCAGCATGAATCATACCAAGCTACACAGTAAATTCAAACACACCGCAACATTTAGCTCCAGTACCAGAACATGATGTACGTACTTTGCAACATAATTGTCCGCTGGATTTGCAAAACCAATCTATCCAAAAAAAAAACGTGAGCATTATACACAGCTAGCCATATCCTACAACGACCCTAGCACAGTTCAGTAATTAACTTGTGAGTTGCAGCCTCGAATATTTGAGATAGTTCAAAACATGTTTCAGTATGCTGTAGTCCAATAGCCATTTCCCTAAGAATCCCCAGTTTAAAAAAGATCATGTTCCTTATACCTGCAAATTCCAAAAGACAACGTTGTCAGTGGTGCATCATTACTTAAACATGAACTGTATCTATGGGGGAAAAAGATCCTACAAGAGTCCTAGCAACACATTCACCTGACTGCTACACAATATTTCAACATAAAACAGCAATATCACAAGAACAAAGTATGTTATGCATAATCTACATCACCCATCATTTAGCAGCAGAAGGAAACATGAAAAATCATACTCGCACAAAAAAATAGGCCACAAATATTTACACAGCAAACAATCAGCATCATATTGAATGTGTGGTAATTAAGCTAGTATTATTAGTGTAGTTGACCATGAAAACAATTAAACAATCTAGTTGAAACTGATCACTACATATATTAATGTGGCTAATTGTACGGTATTCACCTAGCTACATATACAATTAAACATACCCCCACTTCAATAAGAAGGAAAAAACATGTGCCTCAAATAAAAGAGGTCCTTGAATCGTGGATTAACTCTTTAAACAATTGGGTACGGTATTTTAGCGTAGTGAATGATAAGACTCATGACTCAAGCCTTATGGATCAATCCAAATTAAAATGATTGGAAATAGGAAAAGACACAACACAGTTATTCAATTCACGGGTCAAAACAATTGAAATTAATCTAGCTTTATCATGAGAATGCAAAAGTTCACTACAGCTGGTAAACTTCACGATAATCAGCTATGGAAGAAAACATTTTCATAAGAAAAGGACACTAGGGCAGGCAGATGAAACACCCAGGTAGCACTTACATCTAGCACAAGGAATAGCTAGCTTTGATCTCATCTAGCATGAACCAAGCATTCAATTGGAAATTTGGAAGCGCTAAACTGCTAATAGAGTTCCACTATAACCATGATTGCTGGTGACGAATATGGAGTAGTTCAAGATCGACTAAGAATATATGTATATGAACCAGCTGTGAAAAAAAAGCATTACTAATTGCCATAGTAACCAGTCAATTCTTTTCAAGTGAGAACCACATACATGACATAAGTAAACCCAAACAAATGCCATTAATATTCCAGGCAACACACAAAGTTGCAATCTGCAATAACTAAATGCACTTTTGATAATAAATGAAGCACGTAGAGTACTAAATAAAGAAGTCCATGCACACTAGACAAGATTAACACACGATCATCCAACATGGCAACATGTACAAACAGCATATGGTTATAGTTATACCTTTGAGGGTGTACCATGCATGGCACCGACACGAAGAAGCTGGCAACCTTCTTCCTGGCGAGCCTCCTCAGCCTGAGCACGGCGTAAGGAATAATGAGGCAGCAATGACCAACAGCCAGCCACAGGTAGCCGATGTTCTTGAAGAACCAAGCAAGGCACCGCCGCTGCACCTGGCACTGGCGCTGGCAGTCCACGGGGATGAGATCGCCGACCACTGGGAGCAGCTCGCCCACGACGATGAGAACGGCACAGCACACGTAGATGAAGGCGACGACGAACATGAGTACTGCATCGGAACCACGCAGGCGGAGGCGCTCCGGTCTCGGACTCGGAGTCGAAGCCGGTAGTGCGAGGGTAACCAGCGGCTGCTGCAGGTCGCCGGGATCAGGAACGACGTTGCGTGCAGCTGCACCCGCAGCCTACCACCACGTAGTGTACGAGAGTAAAAAAAATCAATCAGATTACGCGTAGATCTAGCCAGAACACGGGGGGAATCGAAGCAACAGGGGGTAAATCCGCCGGCTGATTGCTAGCTTAACACAACTAGATTAGTACCTCGCGGATCTGCGCGTCGGCCTCCGCTTCGGCCTTGGCCTCCCGGCGCGCGGCCACGGCGTTGAGGATGAGCAGGACGACGTCGGCGGGAGCGGCGAGCTCGATCGTGGCGTCGCACCTGGCGTCGGCCCAGACGGAGACGCCCGCCGCCTTCACCGCGAGGCAGTGGTTGACGGCGCTGGCGATCCTGAGGGCGCAGGCCAGCCACAGCGCGCCGAGCGCCGCCGCTACGCTGACGGCCCCGGAGACAAGCAGCCCACGCCGGATCGCGGCCTCCGCCGCCGCCGCCGCCGCCATGCGTACCCTAACCCTCGGGGTCTGGAAGCTTCGGCGGAGTGGGTGGGTGGAGGCGTGGAGTGGAGTGGAGCTGAGCAAAGTGAGAAGGGTGGGTGGGTGGGTGGGTGCGAGCGTGAGAGGAAGGCGAGGAGACGCGGCCGTACGGATCGTGCCCGTGTACCCGTGTACTCCCTCCGTCAATGCAAACCGTGGTTCCTGTGTACGTTTGATTGTTCGTTTTATATGAAATTTTTTTATAATTAGTATTTTTATTATTGTTAGATGATAAAACATGATTAATACTTTATGCGTGACTTATCTTTTTAATTTTTTAAATAAGACGAACGGTCAAACGTTGGACACGGAAATCAGGGTTTATCTTTTTTTAGGACGGAGGGAGTAGTGCGGTGTGTGGTCATGTCGGGTTCGACGGGAATCCCGTCGTGCGCCGTACGTGCCCGAAGGCTCGAACCACCCGGAATGAGCCGGCCCGCACCACGAGGCTTCTGAGCTGGAGAGGCCTGGACTCTTGGAGGTTGGAGCGTCGTGCGCTGTGTGGTGGTGTGGCCGCCTTGTCGGGTTCGCGGGGATGGGGAGGCCGCGCCCGAACCCGGTTGACGTGGGGGAAGAGCTGCTATGCTATGCGCGCTCGACGGCTGTACAAATAGTACAAAAGGGCGTCAAAATAACACGCGCACGTTCACGCATATGAACACGCATGCACACCCTACCTATGAAACTCTCCAAAAGATTAAACCGACATATTCTGATATTAACGAAGTTAGCACGAACGTCTCGCTGTTGATGGGTAGCACAATACGCACAATCTACACCTAGCACATCTTTGAAAGAATCGGCCGATATATCGCCTCTCCGGAAGAATCGGACGATATATCTTGAGATTAACTAAATCAACACGAACACCTCATTGTCGATGGGTACGTCGCCTAGTACTAAAAAAATAGCCTGAAATCAGCAAGAACACCTCGTTGTCGATGAGTCGTACATCGCCTACCACCGAAAAAAAATAATTAGCCGTAAATGCGAACACCTATATCAAATATAGGAATTGAAATCGGATGGGTTGGTTTAACCACAGGAAATCTAACCAGTAGAATCATGTTCACTTCGCTATAAACGGAGGTTTCATATGTGCTGGTACTTCGATTTCAAATGGAATGGAGATAAAATTTACTAGTACAGAGTTTGATGGCATGGATTAATATAACATGAAAAGAATTTAAAGAATATTTGACTAGATTTGTGTGGTTAGTCGAGGTCAGCAACGAAAAACTTGATCGGTTAGTGTTCATGGTTTTGATCGGGCAAGACAATGCAGCACGATATTTATAAATGCAGGAAATGTTGATTTCCTGTTGCAAGCAACAAGCAACACAATCCCATTCAGCAATCAGCATTCACATCACATGTATATGTAATCTTTGTTCAATTAATCAAACAGCGCTGCTATACGTACGATGGTTGTACGATCAAACGGATCCCTCCTTCACTGCTGATCCCATATCCATAGCCCAAGCTCCTGACGTCCTGACCTGCTATCTCGTTGGCTTGCTTGCACACCCAACCAAAGCAATCTTCTTTTCAATCATATCTTAAGCAATCTCAATCTTCTTCCTAATATCTTACTGTGTATAGTAATTGTACTTAGCACTAAACATTGAATTTATCATGTGGCAGGTTAAGCAAATTACGCATACAAATATGTTCCTTGCACCTTGGACAGTGATAGTGTCAACCATAGTTTCAGATTAAATTAAAAATAATGGCATATGTTTTGCAATGGAAAATTTCAGATTAAATCCATAATAATAAAGAAAGCATTTCATGGCCATGAACATTGCCCAGGAACAAAAAAGAAAGAGAGAGAGAGAGAGAGAGAGATTAATGTACCAGAAAAGATGATTGTGAAGCTAAAGGAAATCAAGTAAATAAGATGGCATACCTTTGTCTTCGATGGCGCATGCTATTGGATTAGTTTCAGACTTGCAGATTAGATCAGAACATGAAAGATGGAATAGGGAATGTCATGTTTAGGGTTTAGAGTAGTGAACGTAAAGTTAGAGGTGAATTGGGCTTTAGGGCACATGAGCACGCTTGGACTGCCGCTTACGCGTGCGTCATGCACTCATGTTAGGTTCCCCTGCTGTCTGTGCCGTTACGTCTTATCGTAACAAGATCGTACCAAAAAAACGTATGTGTAGCATGGAAAATCTTCCCCATCGGGCACCCAATGGGGAGAGAAAAAAAATCAGGCGCCCACGCCTCCCGCACCACCCCCACCACGCGCTGTTGTAACAAATCACCTGCATATTACGAAAATGCCTTATTAGGGTGATCCGTTTCATGTTTTGTTCCACCAACAATGTTTCAGTTGAGATAAAAAAAACAATATTTCAGCTAGTATACTCGTGATGTTTCACTATGTATGTACTAAATGTTGCAGTGGATTTTTATACTGTTTTAATAATTTCATCTCGATGGACACGTGGTTTGTTGATGTGCACGGGGTTTAAGTGTTGCAATGATTGTTTGTTGCATACGTTGAACCAAATTATTTCATCTAGTGATCTGACCGTGTTTCACTTTTCTTAAGAATTGAAACATTCTTTCGCTATTTACTGAAACATTGTTTATATAGGGTGAAAACACGCCCGATTTTGTGGAAACCGTTGTTTCATACGTTGTAGCAAAATGTTTTATGAGGTGATTTGGTTGTGTTTCAGCTTTTTAAAAGATTGAAACATTTTCAATTTATTTAGTAAAACATTTTCGATCTACTTGGTGAAGAAATGCCCAAAAATCAGGCGCCTGATTTTTAGGCGCCTCGATGTAGCATTTTAACATCAAAAGTAAGCCCATCATTAAATAGCGAATACAAATGCTCCAATTAATATTAGAATACTTTGTTGGATGTGTTCAATATCCGAGTTTAATAAGAGAAAGTAAAAGAGGACATTTCACAGGTCCATCGTTTTGCTTATACTTATCTATATGGTTTATTTGCAAATTAAAAAATATATTTACGAGTAAAACTTTTATATACATATCCTTACCGGTTCATAAGCACATAGTGTAAAATAAATCATGGTAAAAAACATAAAATCAACTCCAAAATTAAATTCTAAAATTCGAATTTTAGTTTACAAACATAAGTATTATCAAAAGGATGGGGCAATAAGATTCGCATGCAATAAAGTTTAACAATGGCAAGGCCAAAGCTAAGCATAAATAGATTCCCGTACATCCAGAATAGGCCTCATCAAAAGTGAGACGAAGCAACAACCGATGCCGCATTACATCAATCACATTGTTTGTGCTAAAACATAAGTAATCGCATTTAGCGACAGTTGTCCCATAATCATCTTCATACTCAGCAGCCAAACAAACCCCCTATTGCATAACCATCGTCTTAATTACTCAGCAGCAAAAAAACTCATTTCGCCAACACGTTGCAGAAACTAAAAAAAAAGCTGCCAACAGTTACTGTATGAAAATATTCACATCTTATCTGTAATATGTACACTAAGAACAAGACATAGTAGTTGAACGCGACTATACTTGCTTCAAGACGTGGTATATAGTTTGATGTCCGATGTCCTAAAACTATTTGCTCTTTGAAGGCAAATCAATATGCATACAAAGAATTAAAAACTCTAGCAGTTCATACAAACATATGATTACTCTGTAAGAAGGGGAACCTGTAATGCACAATTGGCTGCTGGTGTATCCAATGCAAAGTTTTTTAGGGGTAAAAAGGCAAGAAAAAATAACAGTGATACCAACACCAAGTTGGGTGTATGGGCCAATAGTTTTATGCAATAGCAAAGGAAGTGATACAAAAACATATTGCAATTTGCAATCACATATTTACTACCAGTAATTACAAAAAAAAATGGTTCTATGTCACAATCTAAAGGAGTTTTCTTCAGTAACGCTCTTAAAAATAGCTTGTCAGTCTCAAAGGAAAAAAAGGTAATTAAGAACTAAGGGCGCACTGCTTAGTTTAGTTTCACAAGATCGATTGCATTGTCAAGGTTTCAAAAGGTGGCTCTGTTTAAAACCAACTTGCGATGGCCAAATTAATCATCGTGTCTGTGTATTGCCAACCAATATATATAGGTTTCATTTCTATATGATTTGATCAAAGATTAGCAATTAATATTCTTAGCAGGATATTTTCCATCTGAGTAATTTGTTGTCATCCTTTAATTAATGGTCAGCATTCAGTAAACTCTGGAAACAATCTCGAGTATTGTAAGGTTAGTAGGTTACAATTCATGCAAAGGTTACAGACCTTGAGCCGCATCGATAAGGATCTTAGAAGTTATGTATCAGGATAAGGGGAAACAAGGGATATAACATGTCAAGTAAAATAAGTTATAATTTTTACAGAGTTTCCCTTGACAGTTAAGTACCATACTTTTTGATTGACAAAAGTTTTCATTAAAAGGAGTTCTGAAGAAAGAATACCAATAATGATCAATTGAACAAGCATGTACCAAAACATTCATCTTGCCTCCTTAGGACGTTTTTTCATCCAATGGACATATAATTTATTAGCACCATAGCCTAAACACCAATTCGAGAGATGGTTGACTCTCGTGTGAATTACATCCAAACACCCAAGTTTCCATCAGGACAATGTTCTTTGAGTTCATTGTGGAAGTGTATATGTCATAAACAGTACTACCTCAATATTTTAATGTATGACACCGTTGACTTTTTGTCCAACGTTTGACCATTCGTCTTATTCAAAAAAATTTATGTAATTATCATTTATTTTATTACGACTTGATTCGTCATCGAATGTTATTTAAGCATGACATAAATATTTTCATATTTGCACAAAAATTTTGAATAAAATGAATGGTCAAACGTTGATCGAAAAGTCAATGGCGTCATACATTAAAATATGGAGGGAGTACAACCTAAGTGACACAGTGAGTGAGGGGGGAAAATGTTGAAGGAGCAGTTGTCTCATTCTTTAAGTTAATGGGGTACTGTCGAGAAAATGCTGCAGAAATGTCCTTGCCAAACAAGTATCCTAACAGTTTTCAATAACAATTCGCGCACCTCAATGTAGGCCTTGTTTAGTTTCTTTTTTTTTTTTCCAAAAACATCACATCGAGTCTCTAGACACATGCATGAAGTATTAAATATAGATAAAAAAACTAATTTAACAGTTTGCATGGAAATCGCGAGACGAATCTTTTGAGCCTAATTAGTCCATGATTAGCTATAAGTACTACAGTAACCCATATGTGCTAATGATGGATTAACTAGGCTTAATAAGTTCGTCTCGCGGTTTCCAGACAAGTTATGAAAATAGTTTTTTCATTCGTGTTCAAAACTCCTTCCGACATCCGGTCAAACGTCCGATGTGACATCCAAAAATTTTCTTTTCGCAAACTAAACAGACCCGTACTCAACCTCACTGATTGTGCCAACGTGCTATTTTATCAAGATCACTGTGACAGCATGGGTTATGATTATTTGTGGAATATAGTTGAGAACTAGCATTACTGTGATGATCCTTTTATCAAAGTATCTTTACTTGTTGCAAACCAAGCAAAGTTGATGTCATACTATTTCCTACATGGAGAAGTTAGCATTAACCGTAGAGGCAAAAACCTGATGTTAAACAGTACTGAGAAGTCCTGTAAATTGAAGGAAAAGTAATGAAGAGTACGGTATCACAGTAGAGCAAATGGCTAGAGACAAGAAGAAAGTAAAAAGAATGTGACGATATTTCAGGAACATAATAATAATTGACTGAAATAACTTTAGACATATGACTCCCATAAACTAAGCACCGAAGCCAAACAGATGCTACGTACATCGATCGGACCGGCGAATTTCAAAGTTTTCACAATCGCATTCCTAGCCTGTCGAATCGAAAATCTAATCGCTTAATTTGCTAACTCATCATTCTTCACCAATTCAAACCAATTAGAAACATATATAATGTGGAAGTGAATTACCCAATTAGAGTATCCATGCGTCTCCATCCTTGGCGTCGAGCGCCTTCGTCAGCCTGAGCATGGCGTACGGGACGCCAAGGCTGCACAGGTTGATGGAGACGCAGAGGCACCCGACATGGACCATGAGGTCACCGAGCAGCTCCACCACAGGAACCCCCCTTTCAGCAGGTGGGGGCGGATGCAGCCGCGGCACCAGCAGGAAGAGCGAGACGAGCATGGTGATCCAGAGGTAGGGGAGGAAGGCGAGCCCCATCACGAATCCGACCTCCACATCACGCGGCGACCACCCCTGGAGCATCCAGTGAGCACGGGGATGCGTCTCCGGGGAAGAAGACGCCTTCTCGGGGAGCACATCGTCGCCGTCTTCTTCACCTCCTCCAAGCTAGAGATGGCAAAAGATGCAGAGTTCACCCCCAAATTGAAATATCAGAAGTAACCAGAATAAACAGATCGAGCAGGGCGCGAGGCGATGTATCATGTATACCTACCTCCGCCTCCGCCTTGGCGTCGCTGCGGCGGAGGATGCTCCGGCCGAGCAGCGAGATGAAGAGCATGGCGAGCGCGAACGAGAGGGAGAGGTTGCAGCGGTGGTCGTCCAGGACGGAGGTGGTGCTCTGCAGGCGGGCGCAGTGCACGACGTCCTTGGCGATGTTGAGGACGCCGGCTACCCAGAGCGCGCGGAGGAGGAGGTGGAGCGTGGGCGCGAAGGCGAGGAGGCGGCCGCGGGGAGACGCCTCCATGGCTTACCTCCACGCTCTGGCGGCGGCGGCGGCGTGGGCGCAGCGCAACGCAATGGAGGAGGCGTTTTCTTTTTTAGATTCTTTTTCTTTTTTAACAAGAGGGGTAGAGTTGTATGCGTACACACGACACGACTCATATAGGAACCACGTATGACTTTTTTTTTTAAACTAGCACACGAATCTTGATAGCCTCTTAGGTCATGTACAACGCGTGACCCTGGCATGTGGTCTCAATCCTCCACGTCGGAGCCAAGCCTAGCTGGCATACACGCGGGTGGTCTCGCAGGCTGTTAGCGAGCTTGCAGAGGAACCCTTGCAAGCGTCGCACCTGGGCTCGGAAGCCACGAAGTCACGAGCCGAAGCCTCGCGTTGGAGGAGTCGGAGCCCTGCGCGTCGCCTCGTCCGGTCCCCCCTGCACCTGCCCCAAATCCCCATCTCGTCGTGGTCGTCGTCGCTGCTCCCCGCCGCTGCCGGTGCGGAGGCCGGACTCGCGCCGCTTCCCCTCCGCCGCTAGATCCGCCGCCACCGCTGCTCCCCACCGCCGAGCTCGCGCCGGAGAGGGGAGGGGAGCAGCCGGCGAGCTCCCCACCGCCAGATACGCCGCCACCGCTGCTCCCCGCCGCCGAGCTCGCGCCGGAGAGGGGAGGGGAGCAGCCGGCGAGCTCCCCACCGCCAGATACGCCGCCACCGCTGCTCCCCGCCGCCGATCTCACGCCGGAGAGGGGAGGGGAGAAGCCGGCGAGGGGAGGGAAGAGGAGAAGAGAACCGAGCAACGGCGGCTGTCGGTGGAGAAGAAATCGAAGAGAGAGAGAGAGGGGGAATAAAAAAGAGAGGGCGATGGGAAGAGGCTAACAGTGGGTCCCAAGTTGTTTAGGGTGTACATATACTACTTTTAGTTACTATAGGGTTCAAAATATAAAGTTTTAATAGGTTTGATAATGCAAGGGCTGACATGTAAATAGATAGGGGCTGATAAGCAAAATACGTTTTGGAGTGGTTTTCACTGTGGGTAGTGTGACCTTTGTGTGATTTATCCTACATGGCATCTTAAGACTACTGTTGCTTATAGTCACCATTGTACATGCCCTTATTCAGATTATTTAGATTTGTTATTCTGGTTGATTCAAATCTTTTGCTAGGTTAATCTATTTTCGAACAAAGAGAGTGGAACAGATGCCAGGAAACATGCATTCTGCAGAGCAAATCATAATCGAGTGACATGTAGTAATTGCTAACACGGGCAAATTAGGGAGCAGAACATTAGCAATCACCCAAGACAAGCAGAAGTTAACAAACCTTTTATAGCAGCAAAACACGTTGCCTCAGAATAGGTTATATGCTGGGCATCGGTAGGGACAAATACAGCTCTGAATTAGCGTTCCAAAACATCAAAACCGGTGTTCGTCAGGGACCTCAAAACCCCAATTACTTGTAAAAACAGTCGTGGTGTGTGAGGCACTTCAGAACGTAAAATTGTAACAGGTGGCAGCATAAAATTCACATCACATCTTGTTACTCGGACAGCTTGAGGTCGCGCATCAAATTTCCCACAGAAGACAACCCAAAATGCTCGTGTACTAAAAAACAACTTGTATTCCAGGACTGAAATTGCAAAGATAAAAAGTAGCATTAGCTTTTCCACATAAGAAATGACCGAATGCTTCGAATGTATAATGAGAGTACATACCAGAAACCCATTATTATGACACCAAATCAAGTAATCTGATGATGCAACAATTATCCAACAATCAGTTGGTTTAAATTTAAGAGCATGAACTAGGAGCTACCACATAGTAAGCTCTAACTAAAGTTTCAATCCTGACATCTACCAATTCTTTGGCCCATTTTTCAGTCAACAAAATTCAATGGGGGATTAAAGGCACCAGTTCGAAGGTGTGCATCTGTGTAATAGTAATAGCAAAGAAAATCAATTGAATCATTTTATGTAAGGTGTTTCCTTGTCATATTCTTGACTAAGCTTTTAACATTTATTTGTCTAAAGATAGCATTGACAAACATGAAGAATGAAAAATCAGCTGACAATATAAAATGATCGTTGAAATATTAGTCTGTCAAATTAACCAAACCCCCTAGACCCCAAATCTGCAAACCCTTAACCCCTAGGAACAGGAGGCCATAATTTGATCTTAAAAAAGAGCCCATAGTTTGATAAATCATTTGTGGAATGACGATGGCAGTGCACGGCAAACCAAACATAGAAAAATTCCAACATCAAACGAAAGGAGTCAAGCCACAGGCTAGAAGTCACAGATGTGAAGAGTTATCTCAATCGGGCCCTAATTAAAGCCCGTCACGGATGACCTATCTCAATCGGGCCACAACTAGCGGCCCTCACACTTCCCGGTCGGTCACCCATCCCTCGTCACAGATGAGGGGAAATTCAAACTTCCCGGTCCGTCACCCATCCTGAAATTGCTTCACGCCAAGCACGCTTAACATCAAAGTTCTTTGGAGATTAGCTTCCGGAAAAGTAATTGTAACTTGTTGGTATGAGTATTCAATTAATCCTATTAAGCCCTAGGTCAGGATGTCAAATTGAGGTTATTAAATGATTTCAAATGGAAAAGTCACAAAAACCAAAGTTGTAGAACTCATCGAGGTACAAAATTTTTATTTTTGTCATTTCTCCATCTAACTCTATTTAAACAATTTGAAATTTGAAATTCAAAGTTTGAAAAGTTCAAATAGAATTTTAGATCAGTGAACGACTTCAACTGAAAAATTCATCAACAACAAAGTTGTATAACTCATCAAGATCTATAACTTTTATTTTGATCATTTTTCTATATAACATTTTTTGAACCGTTTGAATTTGAATTTGAAAATATGACAACTTCAAACAATATTTTCAAATACTAAATGATATCAACTGAAAAAGTCATCAACAACAAAGTTGAATAACTTATCAAGATCTAAAACTTTTATTTTGGTCATTTCTTTATACGACAAAATGATAGTAACATTGTTCACAAAATTGATATATATCTTATCTGGTTTTATAAACTATAACACATATATGTAAAATTTGTGAATAATATTACTAACATTTCGTCGGATGAAGAAATAACAAAAATAAAAGTTTTAGATACTGATGAGTTATTCAACTTTGTTGTTGATGACTTTTTCAATTGAAATCATTTAGTATTTGAAAATGTTGTTTGAAGTTTTCACATTTTCAAATTCAAATTCAAACTGTTCAAAAAAAATGTTATATAGAAAAATGACCAAACTAAAAGTTGTAAATCTTGATAAGTTATACAACTTTGTTGACATTTTTTCCATTTGAAATTGTTTACTACCCGTAAAATTATTTTGACTCATAAAATGAATTATTATACTGCACTTAATTATTTTGCTATGGTCAACTTACAAATATAAACATTTCATATAAAAAATGGAAAAATAGTCATCGGTGATGGGCTTTAGTTAATGCCCGATAGAGATTAAGTATATAGCCCGTCACTGATGAGTCATCTGTGATGGGCCTAGTTGTTATCTCAAACGGGCCTCAAGTTGTGGCCCGTCACGGATGATGGTCATCTGTGACGTGCCACAACTTGAGGCTCGTTTGAGATATGGAATGTTATCTCAATCGGGCCTAAAGTTAGTGCCCGTCACAGATGATGGTCACCTGTGATGGGCCGCAACTTTAGGCCCGTTTGAGATATGGAATGTTATCTCAATCGGGCCTAAACTACGGCCCGTCACTGATAGGTGTCATCCGTGACGGGCTTAAGTTTTATGCCCATCTAACATGTCTGTGCGACCATATCTCAATCGGACACTTTTTGGCCCGATTGAGATGACTTCCTTGTGACGGCCCACTATTTCTAACCATATTAAAACCCGTCACAGATAGAAGGATCTGTACTAGTGAGCACATCTTTGAACCCGTAAAACACCATTGCACTGGCTAATTAGCAATTTAGCATGCACAATCAAACCTTTACAAGCTTACAGCAGAAAAAACACGTTGCCGCAACATAAATGCTAGACATCAGCAGAAAATACAACACTCTAAGGTAATGTTCCAAAAGTTCAAAGCTGAAGTATGAGAGGGGCCACAAAACCTCAAGTACCTGTAAGAACAGTTGTAATATCATGTTTCACAAACACTTCACAAGGAAAACGGCAATAAGTAGTATCAAAACAGTAACATCACATCTTGTTACTCAGATAGCTTGTGTTCACAAATCAAATTTCCCACAGAAGACAACCAAAGCAAGTACAAAACACCGTGAATTCCAGGACTGAAATTGCAACAGGATAAAAGCAGCATAAGCATTTCCCACATAAGGAGTTTGCGGATGTTTAGGAGTGTAAATGCTATCAATCCGTTATAAGGATAACAAGTCAAGTAATCAAGTTGAAGTTTGATGATGCAAATCCAATTATCCGGCAATTGTTTCGTTTAAATTTCAGGGCATGAACTAGGAAGTAGGAACTACAAAACAAGCTCTATATAAAGTTTCATTGCTGCCATTTACCAATTCTTTGGCCCATGTTGCACTCAAGACAACTCAATGCGCCAAAGAATTGGTAACATCAGTGACCAAAAATTCGATGCACTATATATGCAATGAATTTGTCATGTTATAATTCTTGATTCTTCACTGAGCGTATATCTGCGATGTTGCCTTCCCTCTACTGGTGAGTGGTAGGTAATTCACTTTTCAGCTTCCTTTGAGAAAAAGAAAAGGAAATAAAGTGCTATATAGATATTTTACGAATAGAAGAGGGATACACAAAGCAATACACAGCATGAAAGCGACTTATATCCTTGAAAAGCTAATATTAGTAACTCAATCACATCACCATTTACGGTAGACCAAGCAATGACGTCGCATACAATGTTCTACATAGAGCTGCTTGCATGTAACATCGACCAAGTAACCCTATATATTGCGGGTAAAGTGCAAAGGTTTCGGTAACAACAAGCAAACGGTACACAGAAAAAAAAAGTGAAAATAATGTGGCGACGATTCAGGGACACAATTACTGTCTCAAATAGCTTTAGACATGAGTAAGTACCGAAACAAACAGATGCCACAGCTATCAACGCCCAAAAATTTCACAATCTCAATCCTTACATGTCAATCGAGAATCTAACGTTTGATTTTGGTACAGCAAACAATAATACAATAGAGCAGACAAAGCGAACTCACCATTCATCACCAAAAAATTTAACCACTGCGAGGAATTCATCACCAATTCAACATCATATAATGTAGCGTGAGTCAATTACCTTGTGGCATTCGTCCATTACACCATCCCGATGCCTCCGGCCTTCACGCTGAGCGCCTTCCTCAGCCTAAGCATCGAGTACGGGATGCCAAGTATGCACAGCGTAATGGAGACGCCCAGCAACCCAACATTGGCCATGATGGAACCGAGCGGCACCAAGGCAGGATCGGGAGGCGGCAACAGCGTCAGAACCGAGCCGAACAGGGTGAGCCCGAGAGAGGGTGTAAAGACGAACACTAAGAGCATCTGCAACTCAGTCTCCTCGTCAAGCTGCGGGCGGTGCGGCGCCTCCACGGATGACGAGAGCTTCTTGGAGAGGGCATCGCCGCCACCGTCTCCGCCGCCGCCAAGCTGCCATGGAAAGATTCACAGCTCTCCAGGTCACCACAAACGAGCAGAAAAAAAAATACTCGCGATAAATCGAATCGTGTGACAGCCAGTCACCTACCTCCTCCTTGGCCTCGCGGCGGCGTAGGACGCTCCGCGCGAGCAGGGAGGCGAGGACGATGGCGGGCGCGTACTCCAGGGAGACGCGGCACCGGTCGTCGCTCAGCAGGGAGGCGCCACCCAGGCGTGCGCAGCGCGCGGCGGCGTTGGCGATGTAGAGGGCGCTGGCCACCCAGAGCGCGCCGAGGAGGGCGTGGAGCGCCGTGAGGCGGCGGCCCTGCGGAGGAGGCGCCGCCGCCGCAGCCGTGGCGGCGACCCTGCAGGACACCCGCCGGAGCGCCGCGTGGAGGATGGCGGTGGCCCTGGCGGCGAGGGGGCGGCGGCCGCGGGCGCGGGGTGGCGCCGCCATTGCAACCCTAGGTGGGTGGGGTTGGGCGTAGCGTAGTGGAGCGCGTGGGAATGGGGGGATTGTGAGCTGTGGCGTTGGTTGGGTTGTGGACTTGGACAAGACGAAGCTTTGAACCCGGGTCGACCTGTGTTTCCCAAATTTGTACCCGTAAGATTGTACACGGGGGGCCTCCCACGACATGAGCTGAGCTCGGAACTCGGAAGCGTACAAAATTTACTTTACTGAGCGTAAAGCTTGGGAGTATATACGGAGTAGAATTTTTGGACACGGTAGGTACTAGAACCAAAATTGTGATGATCCATGGTAGGTAAGTCCAACATCAGAAATTATTCATGTCCCAAGCTTCAAAAATCCTACTTCAAAATATCAAATATTTATGACATGAATGTATCATCAAGTGCACGGTGTGGTTGTTCGGGCCTTAGAAATTAGGGGCCCAAATTTTTTAAGTACGTAGAGAACACTGTATATATACTCCTTACTTAATTAGCGACATAACTAGAATACTATGAACAGTGAGGCTCTAGCTAAGGCCTAGGTACGCTCCCTAAGAGCGTTCACATTGCGTCTCGCTCATTTGAGCAGCTTGAGAGTGCCAGTAGATTAGGGTCACAAGCCTAAAATCTTAATTCTTCACAGCACAAGTGGTCGTAGAAGTGGCTTTAATTTTATATTTCACCTTAAAGTCCAAAAAAAATATATTAAAACACAGTTCTCTCCCTCTTATCCTCTCCCAGTCCTTACTCCGGCCTCACCTTAAAGTCCAAAATATATATATATATATATATATAAACACAGTCACCTCTCTCTCTTATCCTCTCCCTAGTCCTCACTCCGGCCTCCTCCTTCGGCGATCCTGCCGCCGGCGCCTCTTTCCCCCTCCGCCTCTCACCTCTCTCCTGGGGAGGGGGGAGGGGCGTGGTCAGCGCATATCGAGCAGTGGCGCGGCCGGCGAGCCCCGCGCGACCCGGATCAAGCAGCGGCGGCACCCTCTCTCCTTGTCGGCGGCATCGACGGGCTTCGACCGGTGTGGATCGACGGGTTGCGCTGCCGGTGTGCCGGCGAGAAGCTGCGGAGTTGGGGGCCGCAACGAGGCCCGCGGCGGCGCCCTCTCTTCCCGTTGGCGGCATAGATCGGAGGGCAACAGTGCGGCTTGAGCTCGGTGGTACACTTTGTCTTCCTCGCCTCTCTACTCCCCTGCCCTATCCGTGACAAGGTAGAGGCGGGGTCGGTTTGGCGCCAAGCGGATCTGGCACAACTTCCACGCACACACTCTCTCTCCTCTTCCCAGCAGAACTTGTGCTTTTCACAGGCTTTTTAGGCCAAGAACAGGTGACCAAGTTTGGCTGCTTGGTCTTCCCTGGGCTACGCATGTGGAGGATGTGACAGCAAATATGCCGTTCCTTACTCTTAGGCTGAACACTCAAAATAATGTCTAATCTTATCATTTGCCTTATATGGAATCAGTTATCAAAAATTAAATTTTAAAACGTTAATGTTAAGATATTCTCAATGTAATATCCTTTTCAGCATTCACTTTTAAGTTGGAAAACATATATATAATTTTGAGTGAATTGCACTTTGGACTAGTTTTTATTACCTTGTTTGCATATTGGACCAGGTATAAGCAAATGTTTTCACTTAGGTCTAGATTTTGTTACCAAATTTTGCATTTGGACTATTAATGGGTGAGCCATATTCAGTGATGTCTCCAGTGAGCCTATGGCTGTGTTTAGATCCAAAGTTTGGATCCAAACTTTAGTCCTTTTCCATCACATCAACCTGTCATATACACACACAACTTTTCAGTCACATCATTTCCAATTTCAACCAAAATCCAAACTTTGCGCTGAACTAAACACAGCCTATTTCTCCCTCACACAGACAAAGCTCCTCTTTCCCAATCTCCAGTCACCTCGAACCACACTCTGCTACTTGACAGAGCATATGCGTGACTTATGTTTTTAATTTTTTTAATGATTTTTTCAAATAAGACGGACGGTCAAATATTGGACATGGAAACCAGGGTTTGTCTTTTTTTGGGACGGAGGGAGTAGGCTCCAAACTGCCAGCAATTTGAGAGGTGTGCTTGGTGAGTTCGATGTCAGGGGCATGGAGAAAGAGATAGGGGTTCGAGGTTGAGGTGACAGAGAATGAATCAAGTTCTAGGTGATGGAGTTGGACTGTTGGAGCTTGAGCTCAAGCAGCAGAGGAGGTAGAGCTCGAGCTTTGAGGCAGAAAAAGAGTTGGAGCTTGAGTTGGGAATAATGGAGGAGGCAAAGCTTGATATCAGGGAGGATGGAGATCGAAACCTGCGAGGAGACTAGTCAGTGAGTGTGCAGATCATGGACATTTTCACCTCTCATTTTTTTTTTGTGGCCAAGCATCAGCGAGAAGAGCTCTGTATGGGCATGGCAAATGTTGAGCTCGATCTGCCTTGCTCAGATTCAGTGGTTCATAGTGGCTCTTGGAGGAGAGCAGCAAGAGAGAAAAGCTAGAGGAGACGGTTGAAAGTGAAATATGTTGCAAAGATAAAGATATCTAGTCTAAAGTGAAAATGGTTGTTTAATCCTAGTCCAAGTTGTAGCTTTGGTAAAAAGATATGGTCCAATATGCAATTCACTCTATAATTTTTTTATATAAATTACTCCCTCTGTCCCCTAATATAAGGGATTTTGATATTTTACTTGCACTGTTTGACCATTCGTTTTACTCAAAAAAAATTTGAAATTATTATTTTTTTACTTACTTTATTACCTAAAGTATTTTAAGCACAAATTTTCGCCATTTTATTACGGAACAGAGGGAGTATCTTTTTCGAGTAAAAAATATATATGTAAAAGTTTTAGTATTACCCCCCCCCCCCCCACCCCCCTATAATGAGCTCATTGCCAACCAACGAGGGCCGTCTACCTGTGAGGTCGGCCAAGCTCAATTGATGTCAATCTGTTCGACAGCAGAGCAACAACACGCAGACATGAATATATGATACATATTCAAGCGCAAGCTCAACTCAACAAATCAAAATATGCGCATCACTAGCACTTCCAGTAACCTACATTTCCCGGTTCAAAACATAATTCCAGTGATGGTATTTGCTACCATGGGCTAACTATCACCCAAATCATAATCCTGAGCTGCCGGCCTGACGCAGAGCCGAACTACGGGCCAAATACAGCATTCTGAGTTAACGTTCCAAAATCAAAACTGATGTTCGTGAGAGCGAGGCCCCAAAACCTCAAATACATGTAAGAACATAACAATTGCAGTGCCCTAGGCCATGGCATGTTCAGCAAACACTTCAGAAGGGAAACTGCAACATGTAGTAGCATAAAAGTCGGATCACATAGTTACTCGGACAGCTTGCGGTCGCACATCAAATTTCCCATAGAAGACAAACCCAAATCTCGTGTACCACAAAACACATGTATTCCTGACTGAAATTGCAGTAAGATTGAAAAAAAACAGCATTAGCTTTTCCACAGAAGAAATTACCGAATGTTTAAAGGCTGTACATACCCTATGCCATGACAAGAAATCAAGTAATTAATCAAGCTGAAATTCGATGATGCAAATTCAGTTATCCAACAATCATTTGGTTTAAATTTAAGAGCGTGAACTAGGAGCTGCTACACAAGCTCAACTAAAGCTTCAATCCTGGCATTTACCAATTCTATTGCCCATTTTTCTCTCAGGATGGGAATTAAAGCCAATTGGTTCGAAGGTGCACCTTATAATTATCTGGTCTACTACTTGTAGTTGCACATATGCCTTTTCAGATTCCATTCAAATAAAGTCCAGCAGAGGACGGGTTAGACAGAACGAAATGGTTCCCAAATCACAAAGTCAAGCTGGAAGTGATTTTTGTCATCAGAAAAGTTTCTACCAGTTTAGCCTAGGCCACACACTCGTGTTATATATACTAGATGGATTAAACAAGTAAACAAATTGGATGAATCGTGAAACATAATCAAATCAGAACATATCCTAACGCCAATTTTCTCAAGAAATCTGCGACCATATTAGCATTATATCCAAACAGATGCCACATCACACAAGAGGCTGCAATTGAGTTTCAGTTTCTACCACCTAGCAGGGCAACAATTCAGCAAAGTAAACACAATCAAACAACAAGCACCGGTGAATCGGTGATAAACATGCAGAGATCAAGGGAGCAGTACCTCGAAAATCGATTGTGCAACGGTACCCTGCCCATTCCGCCCTTCATCTCCACCGATCCCTCGCCAGGAAGATCAGCAAGTTGGGAGCAACGACGAAGCATACCATCACGGAGTTAGCAAAGAGCCCGATGTCAGCAAGCACGGAGCCAACCTTCTCCTGTATAGACCCCTTCTCCTCCGGCGCGAGCTCTTGCAGCAGCAAACCGACGACTGCGAAGCAGACAGAGAAGAGCGCGAACAGAACGACGCGTCCAAGGCCTCCTTCCTGACGGCGGCGGCGTTCACCGGTGACGTCTCCACGACCGCGCTGCACGGCGGCGACCGCGAAATCCACAAATCCAGACTTCAGAAACGCTCTAGGAGAAGGGAAATTTGGGGAAGGAGAGGAACGCGCCGCACCTCACGGGCCCTGCCGCCCCTGCGGGGACGCCCAAGGAGGCGCCACGTCACAACCGGCGAGGCGAACGGCGCGAGCGCCGCCGTGGCCAGGAAGGAGGCGACGGAGACCTTCGCCGCGACGTCCGCGGCAGGGGAGCCCTCGCCGCAGGCCCAGCGGGAGAAGACGGCGGCGGCGCTGGCGGCGGGGGTCACCCACATCGCGGCGAGGAAGCAGCACACCAGGACGTCAGTGACCAGCGCGAGGAGCCGGCGCAGGGTCTCCGGCACGGCGGCGGGCGCCCGCAGGGGCGGCGGCGGAGGCTGTGCCGCTCCGGTGTCCGCCATGGGAGGGGAGGGAGGGAGGGAGCGCGAAACCCTAGACTCCGAGAAGCTTTCCGCGGAAGGGAAGGAGCGTGTGAGAGAGTGGACAAGCTTTGGACGTGTGGAGGAGTTAACACGAGGAAGACACGGAGGTTTAAGGGGGTTTAATTAATTAAGCGCAGTACAGTTGTTAAGCGGGGGAGGAAATGGTTTGGTTTGTGCCCGACCCGATCGAGTTTATTATTTATTTATTTATTTATTTATTTTCTTTTGGATAGGCGGGCGAGGGGATTTTGCTAGGCGCACACGAGGCGCCGCCGCCCGGGTTGTCCCCAAGATTGTCTCGTTTGGTCATCTGCCGGTGGCCGCAGCTGTGTACATTCTCCTTTGCCGGCTCGCTTGGCTAATTGGCTTTCCTAGATCCTAATCTGTTCTGTAAGAGACTCATTGGTTGCCCTGATAAGCCAAAACCAAAATCTGAATTTTGAAATTTAGTTTTAAATTTGATTTTAAAGTTTTTTCAACATGATTCTTTTTTAACATTAGTAGCTTTTAAGTCGCTAAGAATACATATATAAATGTTACCTATAAATTAATTTATATTTTCTAATAAACCATTTCCACTTAATAGGAAATATGGGCACCAATGAGAGCCTAAAAGCGGAGCGGCAACACGCAACACAACACGATGCATATCCAAGCGGCAGCTAAACTCATCAGTGTAATAAAAAGTGTATGATTTGCCAACACGCGCAACACAACACGATGCATATCCATTGGCAAATCATTCATTTTTTTTATATTGCAAATCATACATTCTATAGAGCATAGAAGTGTTCAAGAACATAGTGTAGATCTAATTAAATAGAACACATCATTATCTAAAAAATACATTCTGTAGAGCAGATCATAATCCAGTGACAGGTTACAGGTAGTTGCTGTGCTGACATGAGCTAAGGAACACATTAGTGTAATCAATCAACCAAGATAAACAGCGGTTATCAAACCATTACAGCAGGGGAAAAAAACATGTTGCCGTTGCGGCAGTATCAGCCATATAAGCATATCAGTAATTCGGAAGGGTATAAAGACATGGGGACAAACGCAGCATTCCGTGTTCACGTTCCAAAAATTCAAAACTGAAGTTCGTGAAGAGGTAAACTGCAACAAGTAGTAGCATCACAGTGACTTCACATCCTGTTACTCGGAGTCTCGGGGAGCTTGCAGTCGCACATCAGATTTCCCATGTTACAACTCAAATCACTTTGTACTACAAAACAGCATGTATTCCAGAACTGAAATTGCAACAAGATGAAAACATCATTAGCTTAACCACATAAAGGATAACCAAATGTTTAAGATTGTAAATACCAGAAATCCACTATTATGATAACAAATCAAGCGCTCAAAATTGAATTTGATGATGCGTGTCCAATTACCCGACAATTGTTTGGTTTAAACCAGTGGATTTTCCGTTTTAGCACTCTCCTTGTAATATGACAAATTTAAGTGCATCAACTAATCCGAAACATAACATGTTCTAACTCAAGTTTCAATATGGCATTTACTTGTAACCAAATAAAATCAATCAATTTGTTGAAGGCATGATGCACTACTAGAAAAAGCATTTTCGCTGGCGGCCAAAACACGTCTTCCCAGGCGGACAGCGGCTCCGCTGGTAGGCCAACGACTACGAAGATCGCCGATCTTTGAAGGCGGGCCGGCGGTCCGCCTGGGAAGATATTTTTCCTAGGCAGAGGTTAGCTAGATATGTTTCTTTGTTATATTCTTGATTAAGCTATTACTAACTTCTATTTGTCTGCAGATGGCATAAATCTATGATAGCACCTTCTCTGATCTACTTGTAGTTCAATGTGCCCACAGATATTTTTCAGTTTCTATTGACAATTTGACAAAATGAAATTAAGTCATAGATTGGTATTTCACACAAGAGAGGGGTTAGACAGATCTCCCAAATCACAAAATTGGTCCCTGGAAGCGATTTTTATACTGATAAAAAGCTAATATTAATTTCATAAGTTTAGTCTGGGCCATACAGTTGTGTTACATGCTAGATGGATTAAGTGAACAAATCGGATGAACTATTTTCTCAATACAGAGTGTATGTAATAGCAAATCAAATCAAACATTCCAAAGCCAATTTTCTCAAGCCATCTGCAACCAAATTAACATACGCATCAGCTCTACGGTAACAAATTTGTACATCTGAGAAACATTATATCCAAACAGAGACCACATCAAACAAGCTCCAACTGAGTTTTAGTTTCTATGCAACAGTCAGCATCAGCAATTCATCAAAGTATCAAACAATCCGACAAGGCTTGCAACTACTCGATCCGCATCAACAAATCATGGTGATTGACCATGAAGAGATTAAGGGTGCAATACCTCAGAAATCAATGATTCCGCCCTTCACCTCCGCCATGAATCCCCCTCGTCACGAAGTTCAGCAAGTTGGGAGCAGCGACGAAGCATACCATCGCAGAGCCAGCGAAGACTCCGATGTAAGCAAGAATGGAACCAACCCACTCTTGGCAGGACCCCTTCTCCGGCGCGAAATCCCGCAGCATCACACAGACGAACGCAACGCAGCAAGCGAACACCATGAAGAGAACGACGACGCGTCCAACAAAGCCTCCGTCCTGACGGCCGCGTGCTCCCCCGCTACTGTCACGGCGACTCAGATGCGCCTTGGCGCCGCCTCCGCCACCACCACCACGGGCACCACCCTGCAACGATCGAGCAAGCACCGAAATCCACAAATCCAAATCCAAACCTTAATGATCCGGGAGAAGGAAATTTGGGGGGGGGGGGGGGGGGGGGGAAGCCCCACCTCCTCACGGGCGGCCTCGGGACGCTCAAGCAGGCGGCTCAGCAGAACAGGCGACGCGAACGGCGTGAGCTCCCCCATGGCCAGAACGGTGGCCATGGAGACCTCCATGAGTCCATGGTAACGGCCGCAGCCGGGGAGTCCTCGCCGCAGGCCCAGCGAGAGAAGACGGCGGCGTTCACCCACATCGCGGTGACGTAGCTGTACACCAGGACGTCAGCGACCCCGCGCAGGGCCGCCGCCGCGGAGGCCCACCTCGGTGGCTGCGGCGGCGCCTGCTGGGGCGGCGGCGGAGGCAGCGCCGCCTCGATGTCCGCCATGGGATGGGAGGAAGGGAGCGCGAAACCCTAGGCTTCGAGAAGCTTCCTGCGGAAGGAGCGTGGGAGAGCGGAGAGGAGTATCACAAGGAAGACAGGGAGGTTTAAGGGAGGGTTTAATTAAGCATAGTGTAATAAAGGTGGAGGAAATGGTTTGTGCTGCCCGATCCGGTCGCCTTGTTTGCTAGGCGTACACGAGGCGCCGATCTGGTTGTCTCCAAATTAGCCCTGTTGTTTCGCTTATTCATATGCTTATTTGTAAAAAAAAAAAATTATGTGTCCTTAACGACTCAAAAATCAAATGATATAAAATAAACTAGCTGGGTGGCCCGCGCAATTGCGCGGCTAGCACCCAAACAAAATCATATATTTTTTAGTATGATTTTACTTAAAATTTATTAAATAGCTATCTAGCTATCTCATTGTCTTCAGATTTTGAAAGACCAAACCTTATCATCCTCGTGTTTCTAATTATATAGTTTTCAAAAGTCACACCAGTTGCTACCACTTATATCATCTTCTTCTTTATTTGCTTGCTCAATCTACCACTATTTCTATTTATTCTTCTTAGAACCTTTAAAAATTGGATTTTATAGTTTTTAGAGTTTATTGTCACGTTAGGTTTTATTTTTATAATTTCTAGATGTCCCGTCAAATGTTGCCATTATACTCCTCTCCGGCCCGTCCATTGTCTCTTCTCTTTGTTGCCATTGAGATTTTAAAAATCGAACATAATTATCGTTTGGGTTCATTTTTTACTTTCTAGAAGTCCCGCCAAACCGTCAGCGGTTTTGCCATTGTACTCCTCTATAGATCGCCCACTGCCTCCCTTCTTTATTGTCATTGAGATTTTAAAATCGAACATGATTATCATTTGTTTTTTTTTTACTTTTTAGAAGTTCCAAACCTTTAAAAATTGAACTTGAAATTTTTTATAATTTTTAGAAGTCCCATCAAACGATGCCACTATGCCCCTCTACAGCCCGTCCGCCGCCAACTCTTTATTGTCATTGTGATTCTAAAAATCGAACATAACTATCGTTGAAATTTATTTTTTATTTTCTAGAAGTCCCGTCAACTGTCGGCAGCTCTGCAACTATACTCTTATACACCCCGCCCGCTACTTCTCCTTTTTATTGTCATTGAGATTTTAAAAATTGAATATGATTATCAATGGGGTTTTTTTTTACTTTCTAGAAGTCCTGGCAACCGCCTTACACGTTTGCTTCACGGCCTGCCTGACGTCCCTCCTTTTAATCGTCATTAGGATTATATTTGGTGTTTTATTAACAATTTTTATATCTCGTATCAACCGCCACCACTCTACTCTTTTATAGGCATGTTACGTAATTTATCTCATCATGTGTTTTAGATGGCCTTTTCTTTTAATAATATTTATTTTTATCACAAATTTTAGGTATTTATAAATTGTATTTCTAATTGAAATCTTATTTTTCTTTTTCTAATTTCACAATTTTTTTTAAAAAATAGTTAATATCGTATTGTGTTATTTTAATGTTTTTATTTTATATTTTCAATTTCAGTTGTTTCAAAATTGTATTCCTACTTGAACTCTCTTTTAATTTTTTAATTTTAGATATTATTTTATTTTTATTCTAAATTTTAATTAATCTCGTATTGGGTTCTTATATGGATTCTTCTTTCAATATTGCTTATTTTTAATTCCGAATTTCAGCTAATTTTAAATTGTATTCCTATTTGAACTTTTATTTTATTTTCTTTTGCTAATTTCGGATTTATTTATTTTTATTCCGAATTTTAATTAATCTCGTATTGAGTTCTTATATGAACTCTTCTTTTAATATTCCTTATTTTTAATTCCGAATTTCAGCTATTTTTAAATTGTATTCCTACTTTGACTCTCATTTCCTTTTCTAATTTTGGATTTTATTTTATTTTTATTTAATTTTTGATTAATCTCGTATTGGGTTCTTATATAGAAACTTATTTCAATATTCCTTATTTTAATTCCGAATTTCAGCTATTTTTAAATTGTATTTCTACTTGGACTCTCCTTTCCTTTTCTAATTTTGGATTTTATTTTATTTTGATTTCAAATTTTGATTAATCTCGTATTGGGTTCTTATATGAAAACTTCTTTCAATATTGCTTATTTTTAATTTCGAATTTTAGCTATTTTTAAATTGTACTTCTACTTAGACTCTCCTTTTTCTTTTTTTATTTTTCTCGGATTAATGTGGGAATTTCTAGCACCCACAGTGAATGTGGTGTCTCTTTTCAAAGCTGTTTTAATAATATAATAGATTATGATAAAAAAACCAGATCGGACACCATAATTGTGGCGGTGAGAGTTGGATTGGTTTTTTTCTGCTTGAGTAGTCTAGTCTGTTCTGTTCTGTTCTGTGAGCAGAGAGGAGGCAACAGACGCAAACACGGAGCCACGCACGTAGAGTATGATGCATATCCAGGCGAAAGCACAACTCAAGCCATTAACAAGGGTGCCATTGCCAGTAATAATTAAGCTTAAGATATATTCCTTCTAGTATTCAGCAAAGCAGATCATGATTTAGTGACAGGCAGTTGCTGACATGAGCTAAGGAACACATCAATGTCGGCAATCAACCGAGATGAGGAGTGGTTATCAAACCATTACAGCAGAAAAACATGTTGCCGTAGTATCAGTCATATGCAGGTCACAATGTCACATACATCAGTAGGGTTTAAAGACGGCCATATGCCCATATGCAGAGCATTTTGAGTTCACGTTCCAAATAAAATCAAAACTGAAGTTCGTGAAGGTAAAACTGCACTTCAGAAGGTAAACTGCAACAGGTAGTAGCTTCTTGCAGTCACACATCAGATTTCTCGAGAAACAGCTCAAAGCACTTTGTACTACACAAAAAAACCATGTGTTCCAGAACTGAAAATGCAACAAGATAGAACAGCATTAGCTTAACCACAGAGTAAGGAATAACCGAATGTTTAAGATTGTAAATACCAGCAATCCGTTATTATGATAACAAATCAAGCGCTTGAACTGGAATTTGACGATGCAAATAATTACCTGATAATTGTTTGGTTTAAACCAGTGGATTTTCCATTTTAGCATTCTCATTTTATAACATGACAAATTTAAGGGCACAAAACAATCCATCACAAGCTATAACTAAGTCTCATTGTGATACTTGTAAACTAAGAAAATCAATCGAATAATCGGCTGCAAGATGTTTCTTCTTCATATTCTTGAATAAGCCATCAACTTCTAGTACTATTTGTCTGCAGATAGCATAAATCTATGATAGCACCTTCTCTGATCTACTTGTAGTTCACTGTGCCACTGCCACTTATGCTTTTCAGTTTCTATTGACAAAAAGGAAACATGAAGTCCTAGATATTGGTATTTCACACAGAAGAGGTATTAGAGTCTTAGACACAGTGAAAATATGAAATGGTTCCCAAATCACAAAGTTATTCTCGCAGAGATTTTTATCCTCAGTAAAGCTAATTTTAGCTTCTACACTCTACAGTAACAGCCTAGCCTAGTCAATGCTAAACTAGATGGATTATCAAGTAATCAAATTGGATGAATTATTTTCTCAAGATAACAGCAGAACAGATCAGAATATTCCAAAGTCAATTTTCTCACCCACGACCAAATTAACATATGCATCAGCTCCAACAAATCTGTACATGTGAACGGAACATTATACCCAAACAGATGCCACATCATACAAGGCTCCAATTGAGTTTCAGTTTCTACCGACCACTCTATCAGCACAAGCAAATCCATCATGCTAAAATCAACACTAGAACACTCGCAACCAAATGGCAAGACTGCACCAACAAAATCACCTGGACCTGGCGATGATTATCATATCATGCAGAGATTAAGGAAGCAATACCTCAACACGGCACCCTGGCCATCCCATCCCGGCACACTTCACCTCCGCGAATCCCTCATCAGGAAGATCACCAAGTCGGGGAAAAAAACGAAGCACACCAGAACAGAGTTAGCGAAGCCTCCGATGTCAGTAAGCACGGAGCCAACCTTCTCCTGACAGGACGCCTTCTCAGGCGCGAGCTCTTGCAGCAGGATACCGGCGAACGCGACCCACCAAGAGAAGAACATGAAGAGAAGGGCGACGGGTCGCCCGCCTCCCTCCTGACGGCGGCTCGCCGGGCCAGTGCTGCCACGACGACCACGCTGCGCGGCGGCGCGTCCTCCACTCCCACTCTGCAATGAGCAACAACAACAAAAAAAAAAAACGAAATCCACAGATCCAAACCTTAGAAATGATCCAGGAGAAGGAAATTTGGGGGAGAGTGCGAGAGGAGATCAGGAGAGCGGAGGTCGCTGCACCTCACGGGTCTCGGGGGGAGGCGGAGGCCCGATCCCAAGGCGCCACATCAGTAGAGGGCCAGCAAACGGGAAGAACACCCCCACGGCGAGAAAGGAGGCCCAGAAGACCTTCGTGGCGGCGGCGACGGCGACGGCGGCGGAGCCCTCGCCTCTGGCCGAGCACGACAAGATGGCCACGGTGGTGGAGCCCTCGCCGCTGGCCCAGCGCGAGAAGATGGCGGCGGCGAAGGCGGCGTTGTTCAGCCACATCGCGGCGAGGAGGCCGTACACCAGGACGTCAGCGGCCAGCGCGAGGAGCCGGAGCAGGGTCGCCGCCACGGAGGCCCACCTCGCCTGCGGCGGCGGCGGTGGCGGAGGAAGCAGTGCCGCCTCGACGCCCGCCATGGGTGGGTTGGAAGCGAAGCGAGCGCAAAACCCTACCTAGGCTTCGAGAAGCTTCCCGCGGAAGAAGCGTGCGAGTTTGGAGGCGCGTGGAGGAGTTTAATATGGGGGTTTGAGGGGGTTTAACGTTTAAGTGAAGCTGTTAAGCGGGGTATTGGAATTTGCTAGGCGCACACGGTGGCTGCAGCTGTGTTGGCCCGTCAAGAAATTAGAAATGGTTTTGCTTGTTTGATCCTTATCTGTTCCTAAGAGCAAGTTCAATAGTATAGCCCACTACTAACTCCAATTCATATATAGCCAATCTTATAGCCAATTCATATAATAGTTGCTTACTATACTATTAATATATGGTCCCACCTGTCATACACACATTGCGTCTTGGAGTCCGTGCTGCAGCTGGCTATAGATCTGTAGCCCGCTGCTCTTCTCTCTCATCTTTTATCTTATTAAAATATATTTATAGTTGGCTAATAGTCGGCTATTGTACCTGCTCTAAGAGCAAGTTTAATAGTATAGTTGTCAGGGTTACGGATAAGGTATACCATCTACCCTTGAATATACGCTATACATCGATATGGTATATCTGCACGTATACGGACGTTCTCTGTATGCGCAAAAGAAATTCATCACGGAGTCCACGGATGGAAAGATTCCTACCCGGATAGGACTGGGTCGTCACTGTATCGTGTAGGGTCCGATGTCTCCGAGTCCTACTTGGAAACCACCTGACCTGCGGTATAAAAGGGACCCCCCGGGAGGACCTAAGGCATCGAATCTCACAGACGAGACAACCACCATAGCCTACGAAGTCGGAGCCTACAGGAGCCAAGTCGCCGGGGGATCTAGTCGAACCAACTCGACTACGGTCTCGTCGGTATCATCGAGTTCCACTGTTCCCTTTGTAATCTGTGATTTCCATCATATAATCCCATATCAACTGGATTAGGGCTATTACCTACCAAGAGACCTGAACCAGTATAATCCCTGTTTTCTATTTGCTTGATGTCATATTACGTAGATCCTCATACCAGCGTGCCCCAATACCCTTTATATCCGGTCTACGGGTATCCCCCGTCGACAGTGGCGCGCCAGGTAGGGGGACTTGGTGCTCAAGGTTCTACTACTATGTCGTCAAGTCTCGTCAACAACAGCGTCGACCCCAGCGTCAACCAAGGAGTTCCGACTTCAATAATACTGGTGTGGACTCAAGTTGGTGAAATCGTCTTCCCGGTTTACACCACGGTGCCGGTCTCGATTGGTCCATCAGTGATCGGAAATGAGAATGCCGTGGCCATAACCCCGGACGACCCCACGCCAAAGGATCCTCCCGCAGAAGCGGAGAACGGAACGTCGACGACATCCAAGCCAGAGGAAAATCCTAGTGCGGCCAAATCTTGTCCTTCCGACAAGAATCACGAGCCGACAAGGACAACTTCCGAGGCGACAAGGTCCTGGTGCCCTATTCACAAAACCAGGAAACACACCTTGCAAGCTTGTTGGGTTTTTCTCAACGCACAAGCTGAGATCCGTGCCTGCAAAGAGCGTGGAATTCAGCGTACTTCTTCAACTCGTGATGTCTATTGTCCTATCCACAAGACAAAGAATCACGACCTCTCAAGCTGCAAGATTCTTCTCAAAGCCATGAAGACGTCGCCTCCTAAGGTCCAGCAGTCACAAATCTCTCCTAGAGATGTGAACAAGGAACGAGGAGCGACGGTCATCTCAGACCGATTCGTTGGGGTGATCGATGTCAATCCCCACGAGCCATCAGTCCTACACTCGCTCGAGGACCAGGGTTCATCGTCGACAAGCACACCACGCGATGTGTTTGCTATCGAAGGGACCAGCGCGTCTGCGCACGCCGACACGGAAGCAGAGAATCAAGTGGTTACACCGGCCCAGCACATCGGGGCCATCAACGCAATACTGAGGGAAACCTCTTATGATCCCGTTCTGAACGATGATCTCGCACGGTGGACAGAATGACTACGAGAATCAGTAACCAACCTCAGCAACGCGTTCGAGGAGGCCGCTGCCGCGGCACACCCAGAACAATCACCAGCTGGCGGTGCAAATGGCGCACCACCAGAGCAGCGGGCCTCACCTCGACAAGCCACCCCTCCACCCCGCGGCACCAGCGATCTCCGTGACCATTTGAATGGTCGCCAAGAAGCACGACGCGCGCAAGACAACGAGAATCGTTCCCGATATCGTCTCTATTCACGATGTCGAGAGAACGAAGAGCGAGGAGGACACCCGAGCGAGAACCGAGACCGTGATAACCGCCACAACCACCACGAGCGCGATGATCACGAACAGCGGATGCCGGGCGATACTGGTCGAGGACGCCGCCATAACGATGGCGATGACGGAGATCGGCGTCGGGACGACAACGGTGGACAACGACAGGATTCCCGAGAACCCGGACGTCATCCTCGGAATCGCACACCGGAGCCAAGTGACCCATCGTCGTCGTGATCATCCTCTTCATCCTCATCATCAGATAGACATCCGCGAAGGACATACGATCGCCGACAACCCACCGCCCCCAGCGCTGGGTGTAGAGCTTTCAACCGTTCGCTACGAGATGTCCGATGGCCTAAGAGATTCCGACCGGGAGCAATAGAGAAGTACGATGGGAGTACCGACCCAGAAGAATTCCTTCAGGTCTACTCCACGGTACTCTACGCTGCCGGAGCAGACGACAACGCGTTGGCAAATTATTTGCCGACGGCATTGAAGGGTTCTGCGCGTTCATGGCTGATGCACCTCCCGCCCTACTCGATTTCTTCGTGGGCAGATCTGTGGCACCAGTTCGTCGCTAACTTCCAGGGAACTTACAAGTGCCACGCGATCGAAGACGATCTACACGCATTGACACATAATCCGGGTGAATCTTTGAGGGACTATGTTCGGCGCTTTAATGAGTGCAGAAATACAATCCCCGAAATCACCGACGCTTCTGTGATTCGCACTTTCAAAACCGGTGTCAGAGATCGCTATACTACCCAGGAGTTGGCAACAAGACGGATCACAACTACCCGAAGATTGTTCGAGATCGTTGATCGATGCGCTCACGCGGACGACGCACTAAGACGCAAGAACGACAAGCCGAAGACGGGGGGAGAGAAGAAACCAGCCAAGGACGCACCTGAACCAAGCAAGAAGAAAAGTAGCAAGAGTGGGAAAAGGAAAGCTCAAGCGGAAGTCCTCACGTCAGAATACGAGCGCCCTCCCAAGCACCCAGACCTACAAGGCAGCGACACGAAGAGAATATGGTGCCCTATACACAAGTCGGACAGACATAAAAAAGTCGCTGGAAAAGCAACTGGCATTGGAGAAGGGCAAGCGAGTACTTGTAGTCGAGAAGGCCGCTGAGGTAGCCACTCAGGACTCGGACTCGGCATACCCGGATTCCGATTTCCATGTCTCGCACATCTTCGGAGGTTCCACGACGTACTCCTCAAAGCAAGAATACAAGAAAGTGGAGCGTGAAGTTTGTTCGACATGGCAGGGGGCTGCACCCAAGATGAAGTGGTCCGAACAGAAGATCAAGTTCTCAGATGAGGACCACCCCAAGGCTGCTATCATCTCAGGACGATATCCAATCGTGGCCGAGCCCACTATTTGGAATATCAAAGTCGCGCGAGTTCTCATAGATGGCGGCAACTCCATCAACCTCCTCTTCGCCAGCACCTTGGACGCGATGGGAATTCCACGAAGCGAGTTGACTCCCACCGATCAACCCTTCCATGGGATTACTCCTCAGTCGTCGTCCAAGCCATTGGGCAAGATTACATTGCCTATGACTTTCGGCCAAGCAAATAACTTCCGAACGGAGCAGATCACCTTTGATGTCGCTGAATTTGATACAGCATACAACGTCATCATCGGGAGAACTGCACTCGTGAAGTTCATGGCCGCATCATTCCAAACTTTTCTCGTGCAACAACTCAAGATTAATTAAGTATTAGTTAGAATAAATTTAAAAAATCGATTAATATAATTAGTCCATGGCCATGACGGAGGCGCAGAAGAGCTTCCATGGGATGGGACTGGGAGAAAGCGTAAAACCCTAGAAGACTCTAGAAGCTTCCTGCGGAATGGTTGCGGGAGAGTGGAGAAGAAGCAGGGTGTGGGCGTGGAGTTGAGTCGTGAGAGTTTAATTAAGGCGGCGTAATTAAGCGTGGAGTTGAGAGTTTAATTAAGGTGGCGTAATTAAGCGGGTTTAGGGGAAATTGTGTGCGTGCCCGACCCGGTCGAGGGGTTTTTGCTAGGCGCAAACGAGCATGGGTCATTTGACATCGGAAGCAACTGTGTCCTTTTTGTTAAAGAAAAAAATACGTTTATAACTCGTGCACACTCACCATTCACCATATTAAGTACTCCCTCCGTCCCACAATACAAGGGATTTTAAGTTTTTGCTTGCAACGTTTGATCACTCGTCTTATTTATTTTTTTTTTAAATATAAAAAACGAAAAGTTGTGCTTAAAGTATTGTAAATAATAAAGTAAGTCACAAATAAAATAAATAATAATTTTAAAATTTTTTGAATAAGACGAGTGTTCAAACGTTGCAAGCAAAAACTAAAAATCACTTATATTATGGGACGGAGGGAGTATGTATTGGCTGTACACTCTCCTGCACCGCCTCACTAGCATGGATTTATTTTGTTCACCCAAAATTTTGCAAAATTGTGAAATTTCGGTGATTTGGGGTCCTTAAAAAACTCAATTGTTTAGGTCCATATCAAAATTTATGCGGTTTGGACATTTATCTACGCCTTTCTTTTTGGTTTTGCACTAACTCTATATCCCCAAATCATCAGCCTCTGTTTTCGCCCCAACATGCAGGATTTCACCAGAACACGGAGCAGCCAAACCATCCTCTGTCCAAACGGCTGCATTTCAAATGGATCTGGATAAATGGCAGCGTGCCAAGAAGATCATTGAAGTTCAGAATCAACAAAATAGATATGTTGATGTGTGGGAAAAATAGTAGTACCAACATTTGGATAACTACTGGCAACAGAACACATCTGGTACTAGGGGTAGGGGGCACTGATAATCTGATAGTGATGATTTAATCGAATAATAATATAAATATACTGAAGGTTTCAACAAAACTTGACGACATACCAAGACAGTCAAACATATACCATTGTAAAAGGCTTCCCACAATAATATTCGTGACCACAAAATTGTTGTCATTTCAAGAAGAACGAGATCATCCATAAATAGCTAAAAACAAAGCCCAAAACCATTAGATGATCATGGATCCATAGTGTTACAGAACATGTAGTCTCATGTAACGACAAAAACGAATTTCTCCTTCGAGCTGAACAGGATAACATGTGGCCCCAGTGTTCATCATCAGGCTAAGAGTTCAGAAAATACTTTCAACAGCAACTACTGTAACAAAGACTCTAACGTTTTTCACAAACTAACCATTTCATCTGTTACACCACCTCGTACAAATCGACGGAACCGACGAAACGGACATAAACCACTTGTCCTGGGTAGAAGCAGAAGTGGTTCTCCTCTCTAGCATATAAAGCAGAAACTGAAAGTCACAAGCAGGAAACACATGTTAGTTTATTACAGAAGCAAACTATTTTGGAGTGTGACATAATGTTGTTACTGAGGAGAACTATATCGACGTAACTAAGGGATAAACACACGTATGTATCATTGGAGGAAATATCGTTTTCAAATTTCAACATAAAACAGACTCACGCGTCTCAAGCAGAAAGAACCAGGCAAGAGATAAACCCTTGGAGAGAGCCCTAATGGAAGGGAGTTCTAGTTGTACCATAGATGATTTAGTGACCTCTTGATGAGATGACTAATCAATTAACTGGCCTTCTTGTCATAAAAATCATCAGTGAAGATGCCAATATTATATATATATGCACAAAGAATCTTATAATGTAACCGCCAAACTTAGTAGCAAAATCTCCTAAATAGGATATGCTAGCAGCTAGAGGAATGTTACATGGACAACTAAATTGAAGCAGTCTGAAGACCTTACTAACATTCAATTTGAGAACAGGTTTCAAACAAATTTAATCAGCAGTTCACAAGTGGGATCAGCAATGAACCAAACTACACATCGAAGTGAATCAGTTGACTCCAATTTTGGCCAATTAAACAATGGTGATAAGTGGTAACATGAACCAAGAATTTCATATGCCAGAATATCCTAATGAACCAGACACATCAATATTTAACAGCAGCAGACAACTAACCAAAGTTGTTGAATACCCCCCCCCCCCCCCCCAAAACACACACACACAACATATAACAGCAGGTAAATAACACTATCAAAGAAAGAGCAGCCTTTTTTGCCATTAATAGATGCCAATATTCTATAAAGAATCTCATATGTAGGGTGTGTTTAGTTCACGCCAAAATTGAAAGTTTGGTTGAAATTGGAATGATGTGACGGAAAAGTTGAAGTTTGTGTGTGTAGAAAAGTTTTGATGTGATGGAAAAGTTGGAAGTTTGAAGAAAAATTTTGCAACTAAACACGGCCGTAATTGCTGATCCTAGCAGCAAAATTCCCAAAGAATCTCAGGGTGTGTTTAGTTCACGTCAAAATTGGAAGTTTGATTGAAATTGGAACGATGTGATGGAAAAGTTGGAAGTTTGTGTGTAGGAAAGTTTTGATGTGATGGAAAAGTTGGAAGTTTGGAACTAAACCAGGCCTCATTAATAGATTACTTGAATGAAGCAGCTTGAAGATCTTAACGTTCAATTTGGGACCAGCTCACGTCAAACAAATTTAATCAGCAGTTCACAAGTGGGATCAGCAACTAACCAAACTGAATCAGCCGACTTCAACTTTGGCCAATTGAACAACAATTTTATCGTGAACCGAGAATTTCATATGCCAGCGAAAACAAGGAGAGCAACACATAACAGCATGTAAATCAAGCTACCAAAGAACAGGACTGAGTGCAGCTAAATACTGAACAGTAGTACTAATAAGTAAGCAACCTGGAAGCTTGAGCATGTGCATCAAGCATGGAACGCCGAAGAGGCAGGTGCCGATCCCCGCGCAGAGAAGACCAACACACCCGATCGTCGGAAACAGCAGCTAATTCGAATTGGACACAAAACACACCCAAAATCACTCGTCCTCGATCGCCATCCAATCGACGGAATTAACACCAGAAATTTCGAAGCAGACATGAAACACCCAGAATCCACTCCCCGATTGCTATGCTATCCAATTCGAAGCGCGAGAGAGGCCGGACTGGGGGATGGGGGAGGCGGGATATATACATACCTTCTTCAAGCTCTCCACGCGCGACACGAACATGGGGACGAAGGCCGGGAGGAGGACGGAGAAGACGGCCACGGAGAAGCTCGTGGCGCCACGAGCCGCCGCCACCGGGGCGAGCCGGTCGTCGGCGCCGGCCCTGCGCGCGAGGATCGAGGCGACGCTGCCGGCGTTGGTCACCCACATGGCGCACAGGGAGGTGAACAGCACGGCGTCGGTGGCCGCGCCCATGAGGCGCCGGAGCCGGCCGGGAGAAGCCGCCGTCGCCGCAGCCGCCGCCATGGGAACGGAACCTTAGCCTCCAGAAGCGGCGCGGCTTGGGAAAGGGAGAGGGGAGAGGCGGGGGAGAGCTCGGCGAGGAGGAGTTTTGGGGTTTGCTTTGCTGCTGCGGGGGTTTAGCTCTTCACGGGTGCGGGTGGTGCGCCCGCATGTCCGAATCCGAGATCTGCGGTGTTCTGCTAGCTGCACCCAGTATATTGTACACGGCACATTGGGGAGGAATTTGATACTAATTTAACGGTTTTTTTTGTCCAATTGCTTTAATTGACACTATGAGGGTGATATGTGGGACCATCTGAGTGAATGGAAGTGAGCCAAGACGTCAAATAATCGAAGCTCATTTTAAGAAGTGTTAAATTATTAAATCTCTCCATTTGGTTGTGCATTTCCAGATTTCTATTCATTTTCTGCAATAGTTCAATGAGGTAATTCAGACTTTTTCCAAAAGTTTAAAAACACAATAAAATCGAAAAAAAATATTTTTAAAAAATAATTCAGAAAATCTGCAATCCTGCATTTGGTTAGACCATAGCTCTTATAATCGTTTACATCGCTTAAAGTAAGATTGGCATCATGCATTGAATGTTAAGTCGACTGATTACCACAGATTTCTGTATACAAGATCGCCAAACAAGCCAAAAATGGAAAAAAAAATCATACTGAACCCAACCTAAGTTCGGATATTTAACCTGTTCGGCCCAACTTTCATAATTGCCCAACAATGCTGCATGGACCCTTCCCAAGAAATAAGTTCACTCTAGGCCCCTTAGTTTGTCGTTGAGTCTAAAATTCATCTCTAAACAAAATAGCAGGTGTAACACATCCTCCAATTTATAAAACCATGTCAACTTTGGTCCCTGACAGTATAGTGACCGGTTTTGGCTAATATGATAAGTGGGACCCACGTAGGACCCACATGTTAGTGGCCAGCTCTTCTCTCTCCTCTCCATCTCCCTCTTCCCTCTCTTCCCTATCTCTCAAATTATCAATTCCCCATCTCTCAAACCTCAAGCAGTGGAGGTCGTCGTCGTCGCCATTGTCATTGTCATCATCAACGGTGCTATCGGCCAATGACCTGGGAAGCCCCATGGACCCGATGATGTCGTTTGCTAATCACCCATCAGCACCTAGCCTCAGGCGACAGTGTCGCTTGGCGGGTTTTTTGGTGTCTATTAGGCTATCCTAGGCCGCAGCCGCGCTGGCAGCGGAGGCAGTTTTGTGGGTATTCTGTACACCGTGACGCGAGTTGCTGCTGCTAGATTAGAGGAGTTGATGGGAGGAGTGGGAGGTGTGGTGACATGCAGTAGAGCCATTAATCATACTAGAATGATATGCGCGGCGACACGCCGCATACAATGGGAGATGCTTAAATTTGTTATAAAGTATGATGTTTGAATAACTTGTAGAGACGAAATACATATTTATCGAGGGTAACCCAGAGTTTATTATCGTATTTGCGTTGAAACATTCAGTTATGTTGTATATATCACAGTAAAATACTAACTCAAATTTTATCGAGTTCCTTTCGGAATTAATTACCGAGAACAGAATCCTGTACATGACAAACAATTGGCTCTCTCCTCTAGTCCTACCACATCTCTTGCTCCCAAGTCCCAATTTGTCCTCTTCCTGAATCAGACAAGTTTATGTAATTGTATTCAGTAATTATGCATACTCCACAGTAAAGATCCTTGCCTTGAGGCTTCAGCAGCAGCTGGCTTACAGAAACAACACAGATCCCAAGAGAAAATCAGTACCTCAAAAATTCAGAGAAGAAACAAGAGAATAAGAATTCATCACTTGGGTAGCCTTTAAAAGACTGCTTCCAGCCTCTTTCGGAAGCAATGCAGGTAAATTCAGCTATTTAGTTCACACCAAACTTCCCCCCAACACCCAACTTTCCATCACATCTAAAACTTTCCTATACACATAAACTTTCAACTTTTTTTTTTCAAACTACCAACTTTCTCCAAACTTCTCCCCAATTTCAGAAACTAAACACAGCCATAGATGCCAAATAATATGATTGGGATATATGGTACTGAATCCTTCATGAAGAAGCTTATGGAAACCGAAATAAATGCAACAACAGATGGAATCAACTGAGTAAACAAAAAATTGAGAAGTCAGTTATCCCTTGAGGAAAAAAGTTGAATATCAAATTGGATTAATCAAACAATGGATCTGAAAAACTTCGGTAAAAAAAAGATGTGAACAAACCTTTGCTTTAATATTCAGCAGGAAAAGAGTAATCTCTTGATCAGGTAAAAATTTGCTTGATGCCCACCAGAAATCCCGAAAGAACTCTATAGAACCCAGAAAGAGGCGTGCATCTGCAGAATCAAATATTTTTTCATTGTCAAGATTCATTAATGAAGAACAAGTCATAAAAGTAATTCATTCATGAAGAGCAAGATACAAAAGCAATTTATTCATGAAGATCATATATTGAAAAAATCACAGAAGTTATTTGATTCATTCTGAACAAGCTAGATAACCTCATAAACCCATGTTTCATCATATAGGTTACTGATCATATCAGAAGGCAAAATGGGAGCTAGAGCCATCATTTCGTATTATCAATTAATCTATACTAATTTCAAAGAACTTGAGCATGGAGAAGCAAATGAATCATGTATTTATTGGTTAAATAGAAGGGAACATGCGCGGGCGCCGCGCAACCAGTATGGTGACATGATGTGCTAATCTGATGCATTGCCTTACTTAAACGTTTTTTTTTTCAAATCTCTGGATCATCTTTGCAAAATGAGGCAGTGACCACTAGTACAGATCCTTCCATCTGTGACGGTCCATAACAAGACTGGAATTTGCGGGCCGTCACAAGGAAGTAATCTCAATCGGGCCGAAGTTTCGCCCGATTGAGATAAGGTCGCACAGCCGTGATATATCGGCATAAAACTAAAGCCCGTCACGGATGACACTTATCTGTGACGGGCTATAGGTGAGGCCCGATTGAGATGAGGGTTCCATATCTCAATCGGGCCCTAAAAGAAGCCCGTCACAGATGAGGGTCATCTGTGACGGGCTCCAACTAGAGGCCCGATTGAGATAAGTTTATTGCCCGTCACAGATGACACTCTTTTTTGACGGCCTTTTATTAAGGCCCGATAGAGATTACTTGTATGCCCGTCACGGTTGATTGTTTTAGGGCCGTTACAGATATTTGTTGCACAGTATAAATATCCCCCACCACCTAGTGTAACTGTATCCCACTGTTCACTATTTTGGTGGGAGGCTGTAGGGGGTGATTTTTTTGTCCTTTTTCCAAGGAAAATAGAAATTAAATTCCCAAAAGTGATCAAAATGGATCAATCAAGTGAGTAATATAAATCATTAATTGAGCAATTTCATCACGTCTTACTTTTGCAATACTGATCTTATAATATGTGCCTCTAATTTGTTTTTTTTATTTTGTAGCAATTGATCGAAGTTGGATGTATGCCAAAAATTTGAAACGTCATTCTACGGAGTACCGAAAGGGCGTAATAAATTTTATGAACGCCGCGGAGGAGGATCGGATAAGAAGAAACAATGATTACATGTGTTGTCCATGTGCAGATTGCAAGAACGAGAATATGTTTGATAGTGGAGAGGATGTACACGGTCATCTGATACAACGAGGATTCATGGAGGGCTATACATGTTGGGTGAAGCATGGAGAGCAAGAATCAGGAAGTGGAGCAGCAGCAGACAGAAGTGGTGCGCATAATCAGGAAGATGAAAATGAGCATGACATGTTTATACCTTCTCCATTGGGCGGTGAAATGGTTGATGTGGATCACGATCTGCTGCAAGACATGTTATGTGACGTTGAGGACCCAGCCCAGAATGAGAGAGATGGAATGAAATTCAGCAGGTTGGTAAGTGATTCCAAGACGCCTTTGTACGCTTGATGCAAAGCAAAACACACTAAGTTGTCAGTTACCTTGGACCTAATGAAGCTGAAGGCAAGTAGTGGATGGACAGACAAGAGTTTCACAGATCTTTTAGGAATTTTGAAGGCTATGCTTCCTGTTGAGAACACATTGCCCGAGACGACATACGAAGCAAAGCAGGTTCTGTGTCCACTGGGGTTAGAGGTCCGTAGAATTCACGCTTGTCCCAACGACTGCATATTGTACCACAAGCAATATGCGGACTTGGATGCTTGTCTTGTCTGCAAGGCTTCTCGATACAAGCGAAAGAAAAGTGCTGACGAAGGAAATAAGTCAAAGAGGGGTGGTTCGGCAAAGGTTGTGTGATATTTACCTATCATTGATCGTTTCAAGAGAATCTTTACCAACCCGAACGAAGCGAAGTTAGTACGTTGGCACGCCACGGAAAGAAGGAATGATGGTATGCTTAGACACCCAGCGGATTCGATTGAATGGAGGAATATAGATCGAAAACACAAAGACTTTGCTGCCGACCCTAGAAACATGAGGATATGTCTTTGTACGGATGGCATGAATCCTTTCGGTGATATGAGTAGTACTCACAGCACTTGGCCAGTTCTTATTGCGAACTATAACCTCCCGCCATGGTTATGCTTTAAACAAAAATATATTATGTTGTGCTTGTTAATCCAAGGTCCAAGGCAACCCGGCAATGATATCGATGTATTCCTGGAGCCTGTTATCGACGATCTGGAGATTCTTTGGAAAGAAGGTGTGGAAACTTGGGATGTATATGGTCAGGAGAACTTCAAGTTAAGAGTTCTATTGTTCTGCACCATTAATGACTACCCTGCACTCGGTAATTAACCCCAAAGGAATGTTTAGGCTTAAACTAAAATGATGAACAATGTTGAACTTTTATATTTAGGCAATGATGAACACTTATTATGCAACTGTGATGATGTAACTGTGATGTATATTTATGTATATATTTCATATGTTTATGTTAAGACTTGCTAAATAAATATTTGATCCAATTAACTCGGTTTTGCAGGTGAAATATGATAAATATTTGAATGGATGTGAAATATGTGAATGGATATGAAATATGAGATTGCTGTGAATGTGTGGTTGTGTGAAATATGTTGATGTCTGTGTATGTGAATGCATATGTATGAATGGGTGATGCTGGAGAGCTGGGGATATTTGATATCTGTGTTTGTTTCTGTCATTTTTGCAGCGGGCATGGCTAGCAAAGGCCTGAGGCTAGCCAAAAAAACAAAATTTATTTTTTTTGTGGATTATAGTCATCTGTGACGGGCCATAACTAAATGCCCGATTGAGATGAGGTTATCTGTGACGGACTCTAGCTTAGGCCCGATTGAGGTCACTAGTCATCTGTGACGGGCTCTAGTTTAGGCCCGATTGAGGTCAGCAGTCATCTGTGACGGGCTCTATTTTAGGCCCGATTGAGGTCATCAGTCATCTGTGACGGGCTATAGTTTAGGCCCGATTGAGATGAGTATCATCTGTGACGGGCTCTACTTTAGGCCCGATAAAGGTTAGTAGTCATCTATGACGGGCGCTAGTTGTGGCCCGATAGAGATAGGTCATCTGTGACGGGCTATAGTTTGACTGGTCGTCTGGGTCAAAGCTATCGGTGACGGGCTTTACTTAGGGCCCGATTGAGATATATTCATTCGTGACGGCCGTTTGCCCGATTGAGATAACTCTTCATATCAGTGACTTCTAGCCTGTGACGGATGCTGTGCCCGATTGAGATGAGGCTTACCGCCCGATTGAGATGAGGGTATCCGTTCTAGTGGACACAGGTATCAATAATCACCTACAGTGGCATCGATGGTATCAGCTGATACAATCTACAAGTAGGGCATTGCATATGGCGGGGAGGTAGGGTTACATATAGATTTCGACTGTTTTCAGACCAAGCATGCTCAGAATTTCCAGTGAAGGAGGCCCTTAGCCATGGTGCCAACAGGTTCTTCTTCACTCTAATTTCGCCTTGCTCACCTGATTGCTTGTTCAATACAACTGTAACCTGTTCATACACCAAAGCGGAACATTCCTCCGATGATCCGATCTTTCAATTTTGCAATAAAATACTTACATTGATTATAAAATTAGCACTGAAAACAAAAATAAAAAAAGTAGTAAATAGGTGATAGCAAAACTATAATTTCAAAACTGGAGGGGGAAATGCAATCGGTTACCCCCACCAGAATTCTTCTCCAAGACAATGCCATCTTTAGACACTTGATGCATATCCCATTGATGAGAAACAAATGAGGTAACTTTATTTAGGAGGGATGGCCTGTCATGTCCACTTGATACTTGCAAGCTTGCTTAAAATATCAACAGTGCCCCAGGGAGAAATGCACTTGGATTAATGGAAGACAACAGATACATTTGCACATATTTGTAAGTCACTGACAAGTTTGGAAATCTTTTAGTTTATAAGTCCGACTGAAAATAATCCTTCATATCAGTAATAGACTTAACCAGTTAACCTGGTAGCAATCTAGTAGTACCCATGTCATGCAAACAACCTAAGATATCATTTCAAAAAGACGCGATCTAGTGAAATTCAGGCACGATTCTGAAAATCTTAGAAGAAGACAACTATTGTAGTACATAGAAAGCTGCAGTCAGGAATGTGATGTAGGACAAGCTCCCTACCTTATAAATGAACTCACCAAAGCAAAATTAATTTAAAATTAATTTAGTTTAGTGGTTTCAGATTTACCGATCAAAATAGTTGAGCAAAGGCAACTATTCTGTATTCAGGTTAGCATGCTAAGTATCGTGCATAACAAAAATCATACGTTGCATATCTATTATCAATTATCTATCTATTATATACTAAATAAAAGTCCATTAAACTTCCTATAAACGCTCTCAAACGCCACGTGGCACTTCTACAAACGCTCCTAGGCCGCCACGTGGCT